TTCTCAATGACGCAGATCCATTAAGTCCTTGTGACTTATAATACCCAATAAAGCTATATTGTTCATCGATATTATTATTCCTTTTGTCCATATCCCTGTTTACTGTCTCTATTTTGTATTTCTTCTCTTGCTATGTGTGCTACATGGAGGGAGTGTGTGTGAACTCGAACTGCTGCACATCCGTGCAGAGTTCTATATTGAAATCAGTCAGTCAATTAGTGTCTAGAATAAATATTATTTGCGATTCTGTAAAAGTATCTACAGGTGGAAACATCACTAATACGATTTATAACAAACTTTAGACAACGTTCTCTTACAGAATAATAAACACATCAAAAACTTCAGTGGAAGTTATTGTCTGGAGGAGAATCATCCATCCTTCAGCTACTACTTGAAATTTCACTTTTCCATTGTTGACTTTTCTACAACTATGGTGTTTTACAACAGTCAAATCTGTGGCTTAACCAATAGGCAGATGAATAAACAAATCAATAGGGTGTTACATCTAAGAGTGTATTGTCAAATATTATAAGCTAACTTTTTACGCATTTTTCATTATTATTATTATTACTGTTATTATTTAAGTTAGACCATCTTGTTATTCATTTTAGACTGTTGTATACATTATTTGTTCGAATTCACATCTTTGTTAATAACAGAGATGGATTTTGTTCAGCTATTACGTTGTTTGTGTTCGGATGCTGGGTAACCGCAAAACTGGAAGAACTTTACGTTGCATCCACTACACGTATAACGTGCAACAAAGATACGAATTTGTAGTGTTTTCAACATTTTGGTTCGTAATATTCGTAACTCTTTTCGGAACGACGATATATATATATTTCTGAGCAAACAAAACTGTAAATTCCTTCCTTTTACCCGTATATTTTGATGTATTGATTTGTATTAAAATGAGTCATTGTGCTTAACTTAAAGTGAAATGAAACTATTTGTAACCATTTGTAGTATATTACTGTAGTGTACATTGAATCCTTAAACTTTTGTTTAAACTCGCTCACCCATATTTTTGGCACTTCTGCATCTTTTAAGTTTTAACCCTGCTGGACACATCTGGCTCGCTCTCCTGTTGTACTTTCATTCAGTGTACTCTCCTAGCCTACCGTCAATCAAGCCACCAGATAAGTTGTATAAACTCCTTATTTGTCAAGTTTCGTATCTCATTTGTATAAAATATAACTCTGTCCAGACACACTTATCATATCGAGTCTTTTTACTCTGATTTCGTTCGTCAATGCTTACACGTTAGGTAGAGTTCAGTTAAGGGCATAAAACGGTGAAGTTTTTGCAAGAGTGTTCATTATTGAGGTCCACTGCAAGTCAGTACTACTCTTATATTATTGTCATTTTAATTAGGTATTTGAAACAGATGATCGTTTTTGATAAGTCTTTATTATCATGTCATGCTCTAGTATGGTTATTATTATCACCATCATCATCAAAATAATGGCAGTATTGTGGTGTGTGCTACTAACAAGATTTCATAAGTAGTATGTTTTATGTTATGTCTTCTACAAGAATCTTGAATAGCAGAAAGATAGATTAAGTTGAGAAAGAGGAGAAATGAAAGATTATTATGAAACAGTAGCATAGAAAGCATGCAATGAAGATGATAGAAATAGAATATAGTTACAGTTTTTGTATTTTGACATCACATAATTAAAAGAAATTTGCAATTCTGATTAGCTTAGAACTTAGACGACCGTTTCGCTCGTCTGGAGTCTAGCTCATTAGTGGTTTACGCCGTTTTGACTCAGTTCAATTTCTGGCAAGCTACTTAGACGAATTGGTAAGAACATATATCTAATTTACACTTCCTAAATTAGTCAGCAATTTGCAATGTACACAGTTTGAGGGATGGAATTTCATCATAGGTTCCTCTGGAAACCAAATTATTCACCGTTTGAACTGGCTACATAGCAAATTGCTGAATAATTTGCAAATTATGAATTGGATTTGACAATACTGATACAAAATGCTACTGTCTTCTGTCGTTGCATTATGTTGGTGATAAAATGATTCCATGGAAGTTTTTCTGATGATGAACTGATTTTCTTTCGCCAGAAGGAAAATCCAACACAGTTAAAAGGAGGTGGATAGCAACTTTTTGGGCTGTACATTTTCTCGGGTAGTTCTAATAATACAATGTCCTCAACTTATCAGTGTTTTAAAACTATGATATTCAAGATTTAACGCTATATTGGGATGTGAGTGAATACTGTTGAAGAGTTTCACATCATCATGAAGCAGTTGTCTTGTGTTGCTTTGGAGAGATTTCCTTGATCTCAAGTTAAATCACTTGCTGAAATCAGTTACAGAACCAAATCACTCGATGATCTAACGAATACTTGAAATCCAAGTGTTGGTTTGTAGGGATTTGATTGATTTCAGGATTTCAGCATGAGCTGACATTAGTTAGAGAACCATTGGAAAACCTGGGAGTACTGGACAGCTGTTTCGTCCTAGTTTGGGACCTAGTCGTGACCAGTAGGGTGCAGCTGGTCGGGTGTGAGGACAAATACTCGCCGAAGACATTGGCTAGCGGTCGCGCTATGTCGTGAATTGGCAGAAGTTAGAATTCAAGGACCATTGATCGGGTCCCAGTGGCTTGATGGTATACGAGCTCGCCTTGTAACCGGAAGGTCCTGGGTTCGAATCCCGGTGGATGCGTACTGCCGAAGAGTCCCAAACTAGGACGGAGGAGACAGCTGTGCAGTACTCCCAGGTTTTCCAATGGTTCTCTAACTAATGTCAGCTCATGATGAAATCCTGAAATACTTGAAAACTGAGCTGATACGCACTGATGACTGACTGCCAGATACAAATGTCTACAGTTCCAGTGAGACGTCATGACCACTATGGTCTACGAAGTTGGCTGTGGGGACTAATACTGGTCGATGATATTGGCTCTCCATTGTCACATATGTATGCATATATGGCAAATTTGCAGAAGTTAGAATTCATGGACCATTAGATTCCATCATAGTGGCTGGTGAATGACTAACATGCCCACCTCGTATACTGAAGGCACTGGGTTCGATATCTGGTAGGATAATGGAGGGTACTGATGAAGAGTCGGATACTAGGACAAAACAGCTATACAGTTCTCCCTAGGTTTCAGTGGTTCACTAACTGAAATCACCTAATTAGCTACCTAAAGCTCTTTTCTGTATTGTACTTTAGTATATAGGTCTTTTCTCATTCATTTCGAAAAAAAATATATTATACGATAAGAGACATAACTAAGAAGAATTAAAGTTTACAATCATGTGTTGACGAAGTAAAGTATTTTATAGTTTTGGAACTCTTCTGGATGAATGCTTTTCCCTTCATTCACCTTGATAGTATCCCCAGTTAATCAGTTGAACTATTATGAAACTATATTTTGATTTAACACTAGTAACTAGTGTGATGTGTTTAGTCCTGTCTTTGGTGCAGACTGAATTCTATCAGTCAGGTTGTAATGTGGTCACCATTCTAGGTAGCTCGCCATCACGGTGCACATTGATCTGAGGATATTAGATGGTTGGAGGCAATCAGCCACAGGAAACCTTGCCTGACCTAGGTTTCGTGCTAGTTGGCACTCACCGGTCAGCAAGGCATATCTGCAACCTTGAAGGAACTCATGTCCCTTCTTCTAAGATTCGAACCCGCGTCACCCAGTGTAGTACTGAAGTCAGAGACGTTATCACTGAACTATTCGGGCTCGCGATTGACCTCCTGTAGGACTGTAGTGGATATTTTGATTTGACACTAGTAACTAGTATGATGTGTCTAGTCCTTTCTTTGGTGCAGACTGAATTCTATCAGTCAGGTTGTAATGTGGTCACCATTCTGCGTAGCTCGCCATCACAGTGTACATTGATTTGATGATATTAGATGGTTGAAGGCAGTTAGTAGAAAGCCCTGGACCTAGGTTTCATGCTAGTTGGCACTCGTCAGCAAGGCGTATCTGCAACCTTGAAGGAACTCATATCCCTCCTGAGGTTCGAACCCGCGTCCCCCAGTGCTGCAGTCATAGACGTTACCACTGAGCTTTGTAGAGAGTGAATCTGCACAAAATGTGGTATGAACAGCTTATGAGAAATATACATTTAAACTGAGTACAATACATCCCTTATTACTATTGAATATTCCTTGGTGATAGTTTTCAAAGATGGCGAAGCTAAAGTAATATAATGTAATAAGTTAATCTGTCTAAACCTACTGGAAGTAATATCAGCATTGGAACAGAGAAAAAGTGAATGTTTATTTGGGTGTCATTCCTTCCAGAATAGGAAATTCGGTAATATAAGACATAGGAATAATATAAGAACCCCGAAACATAGACTTTTCTTTTGTCAATCTTCACATTTTTATTCTTTTTTCTAGAACGAGATAAATTTCTAGAAAATAAGCATTACAATGAACATTGTACTATCAGTTAGACTAAGTCAAGGTTTTCAAGAGTTAGTTTGTAAGGATTTGATTTGTCACAGGTTTGACCACGGATTGATATCGGTTACAGAACCACTGAGAATCAGGAGGTACTGGACAGCTTTTTTGTTCCAATTTGGGTTTCATCAATGATACTCACCCACTGGATTTTGAACCCTGGTTACAAGTCATGCTCATAAACGATTCACTCACCGGGATACGACCCAGTGGCTCATGAATTTTAACTTCTACTAATTCGTGATTTTAGCGCAACTGGCACCTGTCGATTTCATCGAGGAGTATTTGTCCTCACTCCTGAGTGGATAGATTCGACTGGTGACGACTAGTCACAAGAAAAGGCTCCAGGTAACTTCGTCCTGTAGGTGGGCACTAGTGAAAATCAGATTAATTTTCAACGTTTGGTCTAAAGAGAATCCAAGACTAGAACTAAATACTTGTCTAGTACTCCATGGTTTTAAATGATTCTCTTATCGATATCAGTCTGTGGCTAAACTTAAGTCAAGATTTGTTAAAAACAAATTATTTCAAAAACGGGAGTTTCTCACCTGTGACAGTGACCTTATGCTCTCCATGGGAAGGATGACGAAACAGATCCACGTGAATTGATATCTCCCCAACACTGTCTTCAATTGCTGGTTTGTCTAAATAATAAATTACATAAAGGTAGACCAGTTGGAGGGAAAATTTGGAATATTTATTGAAAAACAGAAAAATTAACTCTATCATTCGATTTACTTTTTGGATATTTATGATAGGAAATTAGTGGCCCTGGTACACTCAAAGGTGGGTGGACTTCAGTCTTCCTTTGGAAATCATCTCAAGTGGCTACGCCTTCAATGGCCTCTGACAGGTAATTTCTATTTACTGCAATCCTGTGGTGGGGATATTCCTCACAAAAATGATAGGGTGAATGTGAATGTAGGGCGCCTACAACTGGACTGCTAGTCTACCTAAGGGAGCTGAAAACCCATGATTCCAAACCTATGGCGTACATGGACTCCAGAACCTGAAAGGATAGAATGCTGTACCAACCCACTGTGGTCACAGGAAACCATGGGAATGAATCTCCTGACGCTGCTCCGCTGCAGTGTAGGTCAGAAATCTAGTCACATGCTCCGAGAGGGGGGCTTAAAACAATCACCTTTTTTGGTCTGGGAGTCCGGGTAGTATCCCAGCTGTCGCACAAGCTATGAGATTTGTGTGGAGCATCTCTAGGTGCCCATAATATACAAAGTTTGTTTTCTCATAGTTGTAGGAAATTAGTGAGTAGTATTCAGTAGTAGCACTTAAACAGATGTTTCGATACAATTATACTATACGTTTAACCAGAGTGCATCAACCGTAGTAGAAGTGTAGTTAAAAATATGGGGTATATGAGATTTCTATGTGTCTTTATTTAAAATATATATCTTCCTAGTGAAGATGAACACATAGTGAACACAAACAATGAGAAATGAAGATCTGTTTGATCCTAGACTGTCTTTTGTTTGGTTTCATAGGCCGAGATGTACTGGTGGATTTAGTAAAACACTACGAAAGTGATGTGCTCCTATCATCAGACAGCTTTCACTGTGTGTTATAGCATGGTGAATTCATAAAGCGCAGAAGCTGTCTAGCTTTGAGATATGATTTTCCGCCAGCGTTATTAAGTTTCAAAAAGGTGGGACTTTGTAGAAGGCGATGTTTTTATAAGAAGAAATAAAAAATAGCTCTTAGTGAAACAATCACTGGAAATGGTCAGTGAGAGATCCGCTTTCACAGAAGAGTGTTGGAACATCGGATAACTATTTCATAGAGAAGTCTGTCCAACCTTCAAAACATATAACAAGTTGAATAACGGAGAATGAGTGTACTGGAGACACTGAAAGCCATTTATTCTGGGTTTAGCTTTAAGTCTCTTGGTGTGGTAACTGAAAACCTTTGTGTATGTACAGAAAACATGTTTCATACTCATTAACCTTTCCTATGATTTCAACAAGTAAGATGTATGAATTTACCGTTATACTAAATGATAAGAAGACGTGACTGTCGAAAATCAGGTAAGAAAAAAATGCTTGTTGTATTGTTAGATAGTAACTGATGTACCACTTCGGAAAAATCTTTAAGGTGACAGACCAGACTAATAGCATGCCATCATTGATTGGAGTAATGTAAAACAGTATGGGCTGTCCGATTTTAAAAATAAGTAACAAGCTTTTCAAGAGTTCCACATATGCGTCGGTGCCACAGCGGTTAGCATGCTCGCCAACCATGCACATGGTCCGGGGTTCGATCACCGGTCGACGCACTCCTTTACCTCACTTATCCAGTAATAAAACTGGTAAAGAGGGAAGGTTGGGCATGAGGCTAGCAACCTCATCCTGTAAAAATAAATACTGCTACAGAAACTTCAAGCCACTAGCTTGAAGCCCTATGTTCCACTGGGGAACGTGAAGGAAATAAATTTTCAAGAGTTGTTTTGTAAGCATCTGATCGGTTACAGGTTCAATTAGGAGCTGACGTCAGTTGGAGGACCACTGAAAGACGGGGGTTCGAACTTCAGAAGGCGCGTACCGCTGAAGAGTTCCGGGCTTGGACGAAACATCTGTCTAGTACTTTCTGGTTTTCCAATGGTTCTCTAACTAATGTCGGCTCGTGATCAATCCTGTAAGGAACAATTGGCGAATTACTTAACATAAGAATAGATCACTTTTAGGGCTAAAAGATTCAGTGTTTAGCTCATCACCATCTTGTTAACTGTCCTCTTACAATCCGCTTTCCATTACTTGATTCGTTTTAATACTTATCGTTTTTTTGTTAATTTTGTAGTTGTAACTTAACCAGAGTTTTCGAATACAAGTGCAGTCTGTTACTTCGGTTAGATAATCAGTTTGAGAAACGAACAGATAGGCGATCAAAACAGATGACTAAATAAGAATTATTAATTCAACTCTCCAAGACGAAAGTAAGGGAAGATTTAGACAACAAATATATCGAAATCGTACATTTGGGCAGCTAATATTTACTGAGTATCAAATGGATTGGCAGACGTCTTTCACCTGCTGAAGTAATCTAAACCCAACACTTTCAATTGTTGGAATGCAAGTATATTTAAGTGAAAGTGAAGTACCTGTGTACTTATTTACCACAGATATCAGGGGGTTATTGAGAAAATGATATTCAAGGCCTCACAAATCAGGCACAGAGCACGATACAATAGCAGTAATATAACCATAAGAGGCAAAATTGAATACACTAAAAAAAAAGCCAACTAACCTTGTGATGTTTGAGTAGCTACAAAATTTTTAATCAGCGCATCTGTAGTCTGTGTATATAATGATAATGCATAACGTAATGACTGAAGTTCAGGTGATTTATCCAAATAGACTTTTTTAAGTCCACTACCACCAGCATGGAAATAATTTTTAATTGCATCCAATGCTATATCCAATATTTGACAATGACGTGGTGTTAAATTACGCTCTGATATTCCAGCGTCTTTAGACATATCCTGAAATAGAAATGTTTATTATATAAATATAATAAATGAACTGATGAAAAAGTGTCAGCAGCGTGTTAAAATATTGTGCAGAACATGAGTAGGTGGATGTATATTGTCTGTGAAGCATTGAATCAGTGTATGAAGACAAATCTTCCTCCACATCGCTCATTCAAGCCGATATCTGTGAAGGTGCTGTTCTAACTCTTATTCTTTTTTCTTTCGCCTTATCCAACTTACCCCTTAGGTAGAAATCAACTGCATTAAATATGCTGATGATGTGACTTTCTAATTACTGGTCACTTCCCGATTTGACTGTTCCAAACTGAATAGCATTCCGTCTGACATTAACCAGTGGCCCAAGTTAAATGGTTTTACGTTAAGTCCTTTCAAATATTAGACAGTTGACTTCACCTTTGAGTATAAACATGGTCTACACGAACTTGTTCGTTCACATGATGCTTGTAGCATAGACTAAGTCAAGCGTTAAATACCTGAGGATAATTCTTTCCCCTAACCTTTCCAGGTCATTCCATATCCTGTCTAATTCTAGGAAGAAGTTCCGTCTAACCTACTACATTAAGAAGTTAAGACAATCAGGAATCATTCAACCTCTACTTTCACAGTTTCTTCACTATTGCATCCTAACAATTGTTCCTTATTTCTCCCCCTTAGACTTTCTTGAGCTATTCAAAAAGGAAAATGTCATACTGCGGAGTGGTGTATCACTAAGCCAGCTCGTTACCACTGGAGTTGACAGACATCTGAACTCATATGAAAAATGATCTAACACCCTGTCTAGTTACAAAATTCCCCTCGTATCTCATCACGTAGGGCTAGAAGTCATTATAAAAGGTCATATGCTGATAGCATATCTAAGTAAAAAACCCAACCATACACTATCTGGTAACATGTCTCTTGTCTTTATGCAATTTGAGTGAAATAAACAGAACCGAATCGAAAATGAGTTAGAAAGCGTAGTCAAACTCAGTGATGGACATAGCCTAATTATGTTTGAGAATTTTGGTCAGCGTTTTCAAAGGGCCACTCTTTTTCTCCTATCCTCTTTTTGAATCAGTCGAAGTGTAATATATATGTAAAACTTGGGCACTGTGGTAGTAAGTAATTCCATATTAGTTTGTTTTTTAGATGTATCACACAGTCAATGAAACAGTATTATTTACTGGATGAGGTTTCGAACAAAATTTATTGTTCATAATCATATCAATTGTAATCACACGACTTTGAAACTTGAGTTTTATAGTTTTCTTTGTTTTCTCCTATTTATCGTAGGGGTAGTAGAATTTTCCAGATATACAACTGGACAGGTGATGAATCATTTCTATTACATGTATTTGCAGTTGATTCGATAAAATGTAAGCCGAAATGTAAGTTTGAATTCACTTTTTATTCAGTAATCTTTAAATAAGGGTCATACTAGGGGAGTATAATATAAACAACCACAGTGGTATATCAATAAATACTATCACTTATAACGGCTAATTAACTTACTTGAAGCAATCGGCTAGCTGGCAATTGGCTGCTTACATTTGTCAGTAAACTCTGCGATACACTTGTTAGTTTAGCTTGTGCGGTTGAAGGAATTGATAAGTTAAGAAACATCTGAAAATATAGGATATGAAATAATCAGAAAATCTTGTGGAAGGTTAATATATAATTTAAGAAAAATACTTATCTTTTAAAAGATACATTGAGGAATTGAATGTGTGTTTACTTTTGAAGTATATATTATGACAACAAGCACAACTATTTCTTTGTGTACAGTGTTTTATTAGCAACTGACGAAGTCTTCCCACGGAAACATTGGACTTGCTTGGATATTAACAAACTATCTCACTTATTACACAAACGATATATCACTATTTGTGCATCAGTGTTAGAATGTTCGTCAATCACACAAGCGGTCCGGGTTCGATTTCGTGCTGCTGACACACTGCCAAGCTTCTCTCAGTCGGTGGTGAGCATGGAAAAGATGGAAATTTGAACATGGGGTTAGCAACTCTACTCCGTAAAAAAGACACCACTGCTATCGAGACCTCAAAGCTCTAGCTTGGAACCCCACACATTCCACTTGCAAGGCAAAGCAATGAAGAAAATCACTATATAATTGGGAACCAAAACCAAGAAATTTGAGGGTTTTATGAAGGCTGCAGGCTTTTGGTTACGATTATATTTGTAGCGAATCTTACAGTTGGCGGAAGTACCATATAATCACCATAGAGAAGTGAGTTTCAGAGTCTTATATGGAACAAATAAATCAATAGACCGGTTTTTAAGCCTCTAGCATCCAAAATGGTTGGGTCGAGTGTTAGAAAGGCCTGTATCGTGTTAGTGGAAGTAGCATTAATTTGACGTGAATCTATGGTTGTCAAAGAAAGAATTAGCAGAATTCTATGGATGCAGTCACTTGTAGAATACCTGAATAGAGTTTATGCGACCACAGGAACACCCAGTTGAAGACTACACGTGATATATAGCTGGATTAACCCATTTTTCTTAATTTTTGTAAATAAATTTACAGTAACTAAATTCTACATCCATTTACCTCTAAGTATATGAATTAGCACTTGACAGCTTAAAGAGAAAGAATGAAAGAGGGGCTTCATTAAATTTCCTGAATGAAATCTTCAAACCACTAATAAAGACAAAGTATCGTTTTCTTTTCAGGATAACAGAATCATCCAGGATAAGAAATTCCCTGTCACCAAAAGCCTACAAGTACTTGAGAACTAATGTACGACCTACAGCTTATTGCACAAGTTACCAGGTTTTAGGTTCTAACATATCAATTCATTTTTATTCATCTAATAACTTCAAATGAGTTAGCTAACAACTTTTTTTTTTTAAAAAAAAGACTTTTTCAGTCTTATCGTTCGCTTATTATAACCCTTCAAATTATGTATACAACAATTGTTTGAATGACTTATATTTGAAGGTGAAATTAGCGTACGCAGAATTATCAGTGTAGAAAATGGTAGGCGGTACATTTAAATATTGTTTGTTCACTGTGAACACGTTCATTTAATTCATTCTATTGTAAATAAATTACAACATTAATGAAGTTTATAATTTTTTTTCAATTGTAGAACATTATTATTATTTATTTTTTCCTTTACGTTCCTAGTGGAACATAGGGCTTCAAGCTAGAGCTGTAAAGTTTCGGTAGCGGTGGTATTTATTTTTATGGAATGGGGTTGCTAGCCTCATACCCTCTTTACCAGTCTTATTATTATTTCCTTTAATTCCTAGAAGAACATAGGGCTTCAGCCGCGCGTCTCCACTGCGTTCGGTTCTCTGTCAACTTTTTCACCCCGCTTCAAGTCTGCCCACATGCTTTCATCTTCTCTTCACATGACCTCCTCCAAGTCACCCTTGCACCAACGACCAACTCGCCGCTTCCCTTTCGGGTTCCACTCGAGCGATGGCTTGTCTAGTGATATCACTTGATGGTTTGTTTTCTCATAGTGTGGCCAATCCACCTTCATTTCTTCCTGAATATTTCTTGCACAATCTATTCCTGCTCGGTTTGTTCGCTCCTGTAGATCCTTGTTGCTGATCTTTACTGGCTGGCCATATGATCTCGAGTAGTACTGAGCGAAGACAACTGTCGATGACGGTGTGTAGTTTGTTCGAAGTGCCCTTCGTGACGCGGCGTCAAGTCTCGGATCCATATAGTAACAGCGACTCCACATTTGAGTTGAAAATCCGGATCTTATTTTCGGTTTCATTCTGAGTGCTGTTGACCTCCACAAAGACTTGAGAGAAATGAAAGCTTGACTTGATTCACCGATCCTCGCTTCGATATCCTCGTCAGTTTCGTCCGCCTGTAGTTGAAACGATGCTTCCCAGGTAGGTAGGTAGGTAGGTGAAGGAGGTTGTTTCTTTCAGGTTCCTCCAATTTATGCTGGTTGATTGTTGTCTGTTGTTGTTGCTGCTGTTGGTGTTGGCCAGGAATCTTCATCACCTCCGTTTTCTCTATGCTTACTTGGAGTCCTATCTTATTATTGGCTTAATGAGGTAAAGGAGTGTGTTGGTCGGGAATCGAACCCCGGACCACCTGCGTGGTTATCGAATATTCTACCACATGGGCACCGATGCACAAAGTAAAACATAATGTTGAGTTGTATTTAAGCATATCTATATGACTGACCACTTACACATTCAATGAATACATTCACCACAATGAATACAAAGAACAGAAGATACCACTTGGTAAGTAGGAATATCGATTGTAGAGGTAGTGAATAGCAGACAGGCAATATAATTGGAATTTTCGGTTTAATTTTCACCAATTTTTTCCATTAGTGCTTATACCTTGGCTGCTACCTGTAGTTAAAGTAACGATTTCTAGCTTCTACTGACCAATGAAATATTAGTAAAGAGAGTGTTAAACTTTTTATACTTTCTTTCTAAAGAAAAGCAGTTATCCAGAATGTTCTTATCTTACAAAGATGCTTCATTTTTCCGGAATAGAAATAGATAAACAACACAGAAAATAAATAATTCAATTTAATAACTCTTTTTTGTATTTACTGCATTATTTAAGTAGTATATGAGTCATGCTGATTGTGACAGATTCATGATATCGCCTAGTTAAGCAAAAATTAAAGCGGGCGGTACGGCTTTGAATATTCAAACCATTATGCAAATAAATAATTTTTTTTACTATTTCTAAGCAGTTTTCATCATTCATTAAAATCAGCTGTAAAGCGGGTGAAATGTAATTAGCACTGAACAGCTGTTTAGTGCTGTTCAATTAGAGTGTATTCACAACTACATGGGGCAGAGAGTGGGCGACAGTTAGCTTAAGTGAATAGCATTGCTATCAGTTAAACAAACAGTAGGTTCAAATGTTATACCATCTGATAGTTCACAGTATAGTTTAACTACTATCCAATATCTCAAGTAATTTACTATTCCTACATGAAGCCTGGTTGACTACAGAAATTTATAAAATTTTTGGTAATGCGTGTTTTCTAATGAGAAATTTCACACTAGAACGAAACAATGGTCCAGTGTCCTGCTGTTGTCCATAAATCTATAGACGGTGTGTGTGTGTGTGTGGACAGCTTCACTATCACTTAGCTTTCTACAAACCTTCGATAGGTTGATAAAACTTGGATAAATCGAGTAAACAGTTTCCAAAACAATTCCCTTTTATTTATGTGCTGATAAACATAATGCAAATAATTAGCCTGATTCTTACAATTTCAGTTTATTTTAGAGATCAATTAGCGTATGTTACTGACAAGATTTATGAGTAGTATATAAAGAGACGTTCATAGGTAAAAAAAACACATCAAATAGAGGAGAGATAGATTTGACATCAAAGAGGTGAAATGAACCAGAATTGCTGTAAAACAGGGGAGACAATAAAAGAAGGCGAATAAACACAACAACACAGGAGATCTGTGCAAATAACAGATTTCATATAAGGTGTACACAATTTCCCTATATGCATGTGTCAAATTGCTAGTAAATATCCATTTGGCAAGTCTCTTGTCTTCTCCTGTTAAAACGGTATTCTCTATGTCTTTCTTCCTTCCTTCCTTCAGGGTAATTTATAGAGTTGATTTTGTCACGCTTGTTATTTTATGTTCGTATTATTTCGTGTAAGACGCCATACTAAGTTGTAATGGCCAAAAACGGTCTAAGGAAATTATATATCTCTGAATGATAAGAAAATGATTTGTGTTATCATTGCTTCGGTGGTTTAATGGTAGGATACTCGCCAACCATCTATGTGGTATGGTTTCGATTTCCTACCGATGCAATACACTAGACCTTTCTTAACCTGTAGTAAACTCGGTTAAGAGATGAATTTGAGCGTGAGGCTAGTAACTTAGTCCCGTAAGAGCAACATCATTGCTCTTGAAATTATAAAGTTCAAGCTTAAAGCCTCATGCTCCACTCAGAGAGCTAGAAAATAAAATAAAAATGCAAGATTTTTTTAGGATTTCTCCAACTATTCTACATAAGTAGAGGTTTTGATGTGGTTGTGTTCTCTAAGCTGGATAGGTAATTTAGGGAAGCTTTCATTGTCCTACTAGGCAATATCTTCAGTGCATACTTCAATTTGGGTGCGTCGGTGGCACAGCGGTTAGGACGCATGCCGACCATGCACATGGTCCGGGGTTCGATCCCCGGCCGGCGCACTCCTTTACCTCACTAAGCCAGTAGTGAGACTGGTGAAGAGGAAAGGTTTGGCATGAGGCTAGCAACCCCATCCTGTAAAAATAATCACCACTGCTAGAGAAACTTCAGGCATCTAGCTTGGAGCCCTATGTTCCACTGGGAACGTGCAGGAAAATAAAGAAAAAAATACTTCAATTCGATATCATACTTCTCAAATTAACTATCCAGCTCAGAGAACATAACCACATCAAAATCATCCACCTGAACTACATCAACCAAATTGTTATATATATATATATATATATATATATATATATGTAACAATTTGGTATGATTTTATTGAGTACTGGATACATTAGTTAGAAGAAAGCTAATCGTTATATTAAGCGACGTAATGTATCTGAAATAAGGACTTAAAACGTTACATATCTCCTTTTCACAGATTAATTTACTTCTCGCTTGATTCCTAGTGAAGAACATACAAGTTATACAGGTTATGATTAGGCTACGTCTAACTTTCATGAACTGTATCGGTGGTTCAGTGATAGAATACTCAACAAATATGCACGTAGTTTGGGGTTCGACCCCTGGCAACCGAAACACTGTTAAACCTCGCTTGGCAGTTAGTAAGTTCGGTTAAGACGGAAGCTTGGGAGTGAGGCTAGAAACGCCACCCCGTAAAAGATAATTACCACTACAACGGAAAGTTCAAAGCTAAAGCTTGTAGCCCTAAATTACTCTTGGAACCATAAGGAATATATATATATATATAATTTCTAAATTCCCATTTGCTCATTTAGCGAAAAAACAGATTGAGCGAAGAAATATTTTTCTTTTGAATTAGTTCCTCAACATCACCTCTACACTAATATATAGTTTTTTACATCAAAATGTTTTACCAGTCAAGTGGTTATTTTAATTAGTCAGTTTTAGGCATAGGAATGGGGTGGAATTAAGAGGTTAAAAGTCATCAAAACAATTAACCAATAGATTTTATTAACGAGATATCTAAGCTTTAAAGGAGAGATGAACATTAATTACGGAATTCAAGATAATTTGATTCTTAGGCGTTGACAGCAAGTTATTACGTAATCAAGAAATTTGTAAAATAGCAATGATGACTAAGAAGAATTACGCAAAATACAAGCAAGTTAATAGAATTAGCTAGTATACAATTGGTGGATGGTGGCTAGCAGTGGAATCCAGGATGCGCATTTCGTCCTATTTGGGACTCGTCAGCTGGATGTACCTGCATTTCTCAGTGAGTGATAATGTTCCCACCGAGGCTCGAACCCAGTACCCATAGTTTCAAACGCCAAAGCGTTATCCACTAGACCACTTGGGCTACGAGAGCCACCTCTTGTGCAACGAGCACTTTGGTCCAATCAATCGACGGGAAAATCAAAAATTCAATTCAAGAATTAGCTAGTATTGTAAAAATTGTAAAAATCCATCAAGTGAAAAGTTAGTTACAAAGGGAGGAGGAAAGTAGTTTTTAAAAACTTGATACATGTTATGTGGTTGGCCGTGGCAAAGAAAAAGGACTGTTGTTAACGCCTAAGAATTAACTCATCTTGAATTCTGTAATCGAGTTTCACCCCTCCTTCAAAACTTAGACATCTCGTTAGTAAAATCTAGTGGTTAATTGTTTTGATGACTTTTGACCTCTTAATTTTATCCCTCTGGATCATAGCTTGATTCCACACCGTATTTTTTGGTACAAGTATGGAATTTTCAGCATGTGATTGATATCGGTAGCCCAAATTTTGCAAGCCGACCATAGATATCAGGTGTGCGTCGGCAGGGGATCGAACCTGGGACCATATGCATGGTCGGCGAGAGTCCCAACCGCTGTGCCACCGAGGCAGGAATGCATTTTTTTTAGCTCAACCTGTTGTTTTGAAGATTATTTTATTGTTTAACTGGACGACAAGTTTTCTCCCTTTATCCAATACATCAATCAAAGGGAAATACAAATTAACTTCAACAAAAAATCGTATTATGTTAAAAAAGAGCAAGCATACATAGGCTGACTTACAAATGAAGTACATATAGTAAGCAGAATAACATTAGATTTTATAGATACACATATGTATATGTATATATAAACGTATAAACTTACAGCTCTTGGATCAGCTACTGTAGGCAATACAACTTGTTTTTCTAAATTATGCATTGTAACTTTCCATAGTTCCTGTTTATTTGTAAAATATACAAAGTACATTTAAATTACACCAGATAAACAAAATAAATGACAACAATGTCAGTGTATTTTAACATGATTTAAACGAAACCATAACAAAACTTCTATAACTGAATAAAAATAAGGTTAAATAATTAGTCTAAAAATAGTGTATACTTTAATAAGGTAATATGTTTGAAAAAAAACCGAAAATTGAATATACTTTTTCAATTCCTCTGTCATTTCAACTGATAAACAACAATATTTTTGAGCAGTACTCATTGAGAAAACTGACAAAGATGTCATTTTCAAGTACAGATAATGATAATAATAGGAAAAGCTTTATTCTAAAACAATATTTATATAATATACAGAATTTTCAAGGGAGCTTATTGCGAAGCTTATCTTCTCTTGGTCCGTGGTCTTCAAATGAAAGAAGAATCGACAGTAGATCGTGTGATACAGTTCTATCTATCTAACCTGAAGTGTAAACTAATCCGCCAATATGATGTCTCTTCTCTTTCTCCTTCGGGAAATATACGACATTTACTTGAAGGGTAATTATAATAGGTTCAGGAGTAGATTTTGTGAACTAAGGACACCACTCAGGAATGGTTATCTTATGCACCGGGATAAGTTGCCACCGAGGATAATGCTTTTTCACATGTCTACTAGGAACTTGAGAAACTGCGAGTTGTAAATGGTTTGAATACTCGCCAGAGAAGACGATACTATTAGAGGTCATTGATCAAGTTGCAACTCTGTGGATTATCATTGAACAAAGCTTGGAATGACAGTCACCTCTCTATCTCAACTTCATCGAATTTAAAAAGGCCTTCGACAGCGTCGATCGAGAGGTGATTTGATAACTACTTCGCTACTAAGGGGTCCCATCGACAATTATACATCTCATCCAACAATTGTACGACAATGCTGCATGTCAAGTTAATCCACAACAGGAAACTCACGGAATCCTTTGAAGTGAAGATGGGAGTAAGACAAGCTGGCTGCCTACTATCCTGATTGCAGTCGACTGGATAATGCGACAGACAGCGGGCGGCGAGGAATCAGGCATAAAGTGGAGTGATACAAAAAACTTGGAGGATCTGGACTTCGCCAATGATATATGTCTGATTTCCCACAAAGTGGAGGATATGAAAGTGAAAAACAACACGTTGATAGAAGAAGCATCAAAGATAGGACTCCAAGTAAACATAGAGAAAATAGAGGTGATGAAGATTCCTGGCCAACACCAACAGCAACAACAACAGACAACAATCAACCAGCATAAATTGGAGGAACCTGAAAGAAACAACCTCCTTCACCTACCTACCTACCTACCTACCTACCTATCTGGGAAGCATCGTTTCAACTACAGGCGGACGAAACTGACGAGGATATCGAAGCGAGGATCGGTGAATCAAGTCAAACCTTCATTTCTCTCAAGTCTTTGTGGAGGTCAACAGCACTCAGAATGAAACCGAAAATAAGATCCGGATTTTCAACTCAAATGTGGAGTCGCTGTTACTATATGGATCCGAGACTTGACGCCGCGTCACGAAGGGCACTTCGAACAAACTACACACCGTCATCGACAGTTGTCTTCGCTCAGTACTACTCGAGATCATATGGCCAGCCAGTAAAGATCAGCAACAAGGATCTACAGGAGCGAACAAACCGAGCAGGAATAGATTGTGCAAGAAATATTCAGGAAGAAATGAAGGTGGATTGGCCACACTATGAGAAAACAAACCATCAAGTGATATCACTAGACAAGCCATCGCTCGAGTGGAACCCGAAAGGGAAGCGGCGAGTTGGTCGTTGGTGCAAGGGTGACTTGGAGGAGGTCATGTGAAGAGAAGATGAAAGCATGTGGGCAGACTTGGAGCAGGGTGAAAAAGTTGACAGAAAACCGAACGCAGTGGAGACGCGCGGCTGAAGCCCTATGTTCCTCTAGGAATTAAAGGAAACAATAATAATAAACAAACTGAATAAGGGAAATTAGTAGCAATATATTGATGGAGGTTTTCGGTAGTCCAAGTTTTAAGCAGACCGGTAGATCTCTGGTTAAATGAGCACCATGTTAGTGACTATCTTAAAGCATTTATTTGTACAGTATATAACAGTGTTAATTTTGAAGGCTTTATAACAGACTATATTAACAGTCAACTTCGTATTTAGTGATTAGTATTATTATTGTTATGCCTCGTTCCAAGTGGAGCAGAAAGCTACAGGCGCACATACTCATTCCACTAGGTTTTCGGCTATCCCTTTCAAGTGTCTGTACGACTGCCCTCAAGATTTCATTTCCTCTCCACATGATGATCTCCATATTATCTTTGAAAGCTAAAAAAACTGCTTACTATTCAGGTTCGATTTGAGAACCTGGGGTGTTGTGTGACTTGAATTTCTTCTCAGAGTTTGTTTAGTCTCCATCTTCAACCTCATGTTTAGTCAGTTAGAATTCAGTCGTTAGGGAAGAAATCTTTCATGTACTAGGTTATGAACCACACTTATTTATAGGAGAAATGATGATGCAATCCAGTTACCCTGATTAAAATAAGCGGTGCAAGATGTAATGCAAAGTGTAGTTGGCTGAAAGTCAAGTCGATGAGCCACATCACCATAAATTCTTACTTACACGAGTACACTGGAGATGAAAACACAAACGTATTAGATAGTTGGAGGCAATCGGCCACAGGAAGCTTTGGACCTATGTTTCCTTGGCTAGTTGGCACTCATCAGCAAGGCGTATCTGAAATCTTGAAGGAACTCATATCCCTCCTGAGATTCGAACCCGCGTCACCCAGAGCTGCAGTCAGAGATGTTACTACTGAGCTATTCGGGCTCGCGATTGACCTCCTGTAGGACTGTATTGGATATTTTTGATTGCACACTAGTCAGTAACTAGTGTAATGCGTCTAGTCCTAACTTCACTGCAGACTGAATTCTGTCAGTCAAGCTTTCTCGCCCAACAAATATGCAGGAGAAAGCGGAGATGGATTGGACACTCGCTGAGGAGACCGCTGGGTGACATCGCGCGTGAAGCCCTCGAGTGGAACCCGAAAGGGAAGCGGCGTGTGGGACGTCCAAGGGTGACATGGAGGAGATCGTGTGAAGAGGAGTTGAAAGAATATGGACTAACATGGATGCAGGCGAAAAGTACAACAAAAGACAGAAGCAAATGGAGACATGCAGTTGAAGCCCTATGTTCCACTAGGAACCCAAGGGAGCAATAATAAATAATATAATAAGCTTGTAATCTGGCCACCATGCCACTAAGTGGTTCGCCATTACGGTGCACTGTGAATTGTTGGTATTAGATGGTTAGGGGCAATCGGCAGGAAGCCTTGGACCTAGGTTTCGTGCTAGTTGGCACTCATCAATATCTGCAAGCTTGACTGATAGAATTCAGTCTGCAGCGAAGATAGGATTAGACGCATTACAGTAGTTACTGACTATTGTGCAATCAAAAATAACGCAAACGTAGTCTGTAACTACCTAATTACATACAGGTAAAAGTATTGACTGAGAAATCCCCATAATGGTGTGACAGATACAATACTGCTTATGATTATACTTGCGATATAAAAGATCCTTCAATATTTCCTTTCAAAATTGAGTAGTTCGAAGTGATCATCACAAATGAGATGAAAATAAAGTAACAACAACAGCAACAACAACAAGAAAGCAAACAGCAGAGTAGAATAGGATAATTTTTTTTTACCTTCAACAATCGTTTCAGTACAGTCTTCTCACACAGGTCTGCTAAAGTTGATAGTGTTGATTCATAATAATCCATAAGAGGATGAAGTATGTGTTCCGCCTCAATTTCTACATTCCCCTTTGAATTTGGTTGACACTAAAAGAAGATAATAAAGAGGGTATGTAACACATTAACACATACTTCAAATATAGACAGATAATGATGAGTAAGCTTAGATGTGTGTGAAGGTTAGTGCATACATTGAGAGAGTTTTTTTCAGAAGATAAACGAATAAAGAAATTGTATAGTTTGGTTTGTAAGGATTAGTTATGTTTTTACGAGTTGATCACGGATTGATATCAGTTAGAGAATCATTGAAAACCAGGGAGTACTGGACAGCTGCTGTTTCATCCTAGTTTGGGAATCATCCACAGAGTTCGTATACCATTCAGCCACTGGGACGCGATTCAATGGCTCATGAATTCTAACTTCTACCAATTCGTGATTTAGCGCGACCCCAACAATTGTCGTTGGTGGGACATCCATCTACACACGTAACATCTAATTGGACCTCACTGGTCCCAGTGACTGAATGGTATATGAGCTTGTCTTGTAACCGGAAGGTCGTGGGTTCGAATCCCAATGGGTGCGTACAGCCGATGATTCCCAAACTAGGATGAAACAGCAACTGTCCAGTACTCCCTGGTTTTCAATGGTTCTCTAACTGATATCAATCCGTGATCAACTCGTAAAAAGAAATTGTAATTTATTTTTCAAGTACACACAAATTATCGCAGAAGCATGTTTAATGGTGAAAAAATGTTTCAGTTATATTGGCTTATCTAATATATATCTAACCGAATTACATTGGTATAGTATTATAGGTAGATGTTCAGGATAACTGTATCCTGATTTGTTTAAGTGAATTTACATCTTGTGGAATGTTGCATCTCTTTTGAGGCTTTGGCGTTTGAAACAGTAAATGCTTGGTTCGAGTCTCAGTAAGAACAACATCAAATTGACAGGTTCCCAATAGGACTGTGTGCACATCGTGGATTCCATTACTAGCCACCACCAGCAAGATAATAGCTATATTCTATTGTATATAAATAAATAGATAACAGAACAGGGAGCTGTGCTGTCTTTTGACAATAGTACAAGATGTTGTCCTATAAGTAGGTTGGTTGTAGAACGACAGCTATCTGCTATAGTCATGAACACACACACAGAGGCTCTTAGAAACATTACGAGAAGTTGTAGGGTTATTTAAATGGTAAAAGGTGTTAGGTTTCTTGTTTCTGTTTTTCACGGTGACCCAAATTCACGTCTAAACGATAACTGAGTAAAACAGCAAAATGAAAATTAGTTAACAGTAACTCTCTGGTTGGATGCTAACTAGTGTCATGCGTCTATTTTTAAAAAATATTTTATTATAGCTTGACTCCACACCGTATTTTTTGGTACAAGTATGGAATTTTTAGCATGTGATATCCGTAGCCCAAATTTTGCGAGCCGACCATAGATATCAGGTGTGCGTCGGTAGGGGATCGAACCTGGGACCATGTGCATGGTCGGCGAGAATCCTAACCGCTTTTGTTTGCTGCAGACTGAATTCTATCAGTCATGTCTACAATGTGGCCACCATACTAAGTGGTTCAGCATCAAGATGGACACTGACTTGTTGCTATTTTAGATGATTGGAGGCAATCGGCCGGGAGGCATTGGAAGTAAGTATCATGCTAGTTGACACTCGTCAGCAAGGCATATCTGCAATCTTGAAGGAACTCGTGTTCCTCCCGTGATTCGAACCCGAGCTACTCGGTGCTCCAATCAGAGACATTACCGCTAAGCTATTCGGACTAGCGACTGACCTCCTGTGGGACTGTATTGGTAACATCTCTGACTGCAGCACGACGGGTGGCAAGTTTTCTAACCTCAGAAGGGACATGCATCCCTTCGAGACTGAAGATGTGGTGCCTTACTGATGAGTACCGACACGCACGAAACCTAGGTTCAAGGCCTCCCACCAAATAAAGTAGCGTAACATAATCGACTGGTGCTCATTTATTTTTCACCGGTTCTATGAATTATATTAGATTGTAAACAACTAGTTTGTAGTCATATTACCATTATCATTATTATTATTTTCAATATTGATTTCGTCATGGTTGCATTCCTACTTCTCAAACAGAATGCAGTACACTATATACAAAGGTAAGTCCTCCTCTGCTGTGCTCACTGAAGCTAGTGTCCCCCAAGGTTCTGTACTCTCCCCACTTCTCCTTTCTTTCTTTCTACATGACTTACCATCTTCAAATGACATTCATTTTGTTAAATATGCTGACAACCTGACTCTATCTTTGCCTGTCAAATGTCAAAGTGACTGCTCCAAACTAAATGACTTTTTATTAGAAATCAGCCAGTGGTCTAAGGAAAACAGTCTAACCTTTAATCCCTCTAAATGTTAAACAGTCAATTTCACCTTTAGGCATAAGTATGACCTAAACAAACTGGTTAGAACTCACCACATGTGCAACATAGATGACATTGAAATAGAAACCGAGTAGGAAATTAAATACCTAGCGTCATTCTATCTGCTGATCTTTCCTGGTCGTCTCACACCTTGATGATTTCTAAGAAAATATTTCGTCTTACCTTCTATATCAAGAAGTTAAGACATTCTGGAATAACCCACCCAACCCTTACTCTTACGATTCGTTAACTTTTGCATCCTGCCTATTATTCTCTATTGTTCCCCTTAGTTTTTCCTGGGCTGGCAACTGAAGAAAGACTATACCTTATTACGCAAGATGTTAAAGGTTGTCAGCAGGGTAAGCAATGTGCCACTTCTGGTCGACAGCCACTTCGACTCGTGTGAAAAATGGGCTAAATTCATTCTATCCAATTCACAACACCCTCTTCATTCACAACTCTCCCCTTGTATCTAATCAGGAAAAACCAGAAGCCTATATAAAAAACTATATGCTCGCACTAGCAAGTACGAAAACTCAACCATACCCTACTTAGCTCGTGTTCTGTGCGATAAAGAAAGCATTAGGCGTGATACCTATAACTTATTAAATAGTCAGTAGAACAACTGAATCTCGTCTTCCGACTCATATCATTTATAGGTACAACGTTTTCTTTCTTTCTTTTCCTTTTCTCTCTCTTTTTTATTGTGTGCTGCTTTGTTTCTTTCTTCCTTACTAACTCTAATTAAAACATTCTTCTTCGTTCTCTCACACTCTGTATATCTCAACCTTTTGTTACCGCTTACACCAGTAAATATGCTAGTATCTACTTTTCTAACAACTTCAAACACTCTGTTCAGTTTTTGGCTTTGCTACTGACATGTCAATATGTTGTTGTCAAAATTAACTGAGACTACCCATTATGTATGTATAATTTTATTTAGTGTTAATGTACAAACTGGATGAAATACTGTAGTAAAATGCTGAGAATTCCATTCCGTATCACAATTACTGTTTTGGAATAAAGCGAATAATAATTATTATTGAAAACTGGGGTAATTGGACAGCATTTTTGACCTAGTTTGCGATTGTAACTTCTGTTGATGCGTGAAGTTAGAACTGAATTCCAATCCAATGATCAAATAGTCATCGAGCTAGCCTCTTAAACTGAAGGCTATGGGTTCAATCCTTCCCTAGTGAGGGTACTGGTGCGCATCACTAAGTCGTCTAAACCTAGAATGAAACAGTTAACCAGTGCTCATTGATTTTTTTTTTAAATGATTCGCCAGATGACGCTGATTATTGACGAAATATACGCTAAAATTAATCCGGATCCCTACACGTCTATTCATATTAGTTTTTAATAATTAAACAAGCAACCAATCAAATGCTTCTGCAAGACAAACTAATCCAGACACCATGCAAAGAAGGTGACTGATTTTAAGACTAAAAAAGAAAAAAAAATTAAAGTGAATATGTACAAAAACCCAGAAGTTAATTAATGAATGCTACACATGCATACTGACTGACCTGATGTAATAGTTTACTTAATTCTTTAATTTTTTGAATAATTTGTACTTGTAAAGCTTCAGCATATTGTGAGGCTAAATCATCGATAACAGCATGTAGCATTTGTTGCAAGTCATTCATTGAAGTCAGTGTATCCTCAGACAGTGTACTTCCACCCATTGCTTCGAATACTTTTTCTAATTGTACACGTAATTGTTGTATATTATTCATGATAATACATGCAGTTTCTTGTTGATGTATCCAACGTTTAAAATCAGCTTTTACAATTTCTGCATAAGTCAGTAGGACTTTACTGACGGTCTATATTATTATTATTATTATTATTATTATTATTATTATTATTATTATTTAATGTTGTTTAGAGAAAAGTAAAAGTGTGAAAAGAAAGAAAACAGTAAATATTAAAATACATAATGAATTCAAATAATAATGAAAAAGAGATTAATTTATAATTTAATTGAATTTTACATTTTCCCGTCGATCGATTAGACCGAAGTGCTGGCTTCACTATTTTGGACTCGTCAGCTGGATGTACCTGCATTCCCCAGTGAGTGATGATGTTCCCACCGATGCTCAAGTCCCAAATAGGACGAAATGCTTGTTGTCCTGGATTCCACTGCTAGTCACAATCCACCAATTAAATTCTAATCACTTACCCAGACATCGTCGAAGCATCTGCACAAGAAGCCGACTTGTCAACCTGAGACCGAGCATTTCGGTCCAATCAATTGACGGGAAAACCTAAAATTCAATTAAATAATCAATATGACCCGTTGCACAAGGGGTGGCTCCCGTGGACCAAATGGTCTAGTGGATAACGTTTTGGCATTTGAAACTATAGGCACTGGGTTCGAGCCGCGGTGGCAACACCATTACGTAGTGAGGAATGCAGGTACATCCAGATGACGAGCCCCAAATAGGAAGAAATGCGTGTTGTCCTGGATTCCACTGCTAGTCACCATACATCAATTGAAAGATCAACTAATTAAATACTATTTATGAAATTTTAGTATACTTAAACGAATTGTGTCTAGTGTTGCACAAACAGCTAAATGACAGTGTCACGTGTCAAGTGGTCTACAAAGACGGAAACTCATCGAAGCCTGTGAAGTGAAGACAAGAATAATTCGAGGTTGCCTGTTATCACCGATGATATTCCTAGGTGTAGGCGAACCGTGGGGAGCAAGAGGACAGGCACAGATTAGATGAACAAGAAGACAGTAGAAGACATACATCAACTTGAGCCCCAATGGTGCCATCGCGATGTTAGCCTGACTGTCAAAGGTCGGGTATACAATGCTTCGGTGCAGACTGTCTTGCTCTACGCCTGTAAAACCTGGCCTCTCCGAGCTGAGGATGTGTGGCGACTCTGCCTGTTCGATCACCGCTGTCTCCGCGGGATTGTTGCGTTCGATGGCATAACCGCGTGAGTAATTCTGAGGTTCGGCGGCGTGTGTTTGAACACAGTGGAGATCACTATTCATTGAGTGTCATCATCTGGAAACACCGGCTCCGATGGCTTGGACATTTGCTGCGAATGTCACCCCAGAGGCTTCCTTACAGGTCTCTGTTCACTAGCCATCCCTGTGACGGGACAGAAAAGGCGGAGGAGTGGTCAGTCCATGACGTGGCGTCGTGTGATGAAGGATGTTTGTGCTAGATTAGCATCGGTTGGTGTGTCACGACTCCCTGGTTGAGGTCCCCAAGACAGCTCGAATCCATGGCTCGAAACGTTATCGGATATGGCCAAGAATCGTAATCATTGGCGAACGTGTCGCAATTTCGTTCTTTCTCCCCTTCCCGAAGGTAGCTAACGAATACTATTTGAACTTGTTAAGCATGACTGTTTTCCTTCCACGTGACGTTCTTTACCCGTTCTCTACTTATATTTTTTTCTGTTTTTCCTTCTTTTTTGATCTATGTTGTCTTATTATTATTATTGTGTGTCGCATCTTTTTTGGTGCCATATTGTACCAAGTTTTTTTATGTGTTTAAATAAATAATAATAAGAAGACCTGAACTTCGCGAACGATTTGTGTCTAATGTCACACAAACTTGAAAATCTACAAGCGAAAATCAACAAGTTGGCAGAAGAAGAAAGTAGCGGAGAAATTTCTTCAAGTAAACACACAGAAGACAGATGTGATGAAGATAACCATCGAGGAACAGCAACAACAAGAAGCACCAATCACCATCAACGGGATAAATTTGGAGGAAAACATTTCTTTCACTGATCTAGACAGCATCATTTCAACTACAGGTGGTGTGACATCAGTGAGAAGGTCAAAATCAGCTGCAAATGGGTAAGAAATTAATTTCATTAATCTGAAATCAGTGTGAAAATCTGTTGTACTATTCAGCATAAGGAACAAGATTCGGACATTTAACACTTATGTCAAATTAGTGTTTCTATATGGAATAGGAACTTGACAAATGCGTCACCAAAAGCATTGAAAGCAGTCTGTAAACTTTTATCAACAGCAGGTTTTGCTTGATACTGAAGAACAGTTAGCTGACCAGACAGAATTTAGCAACAAGTGTAACTATGATAATGCAGAGAACCAAACCAAGAATCTGTTGACCAACAAAAGTGCGGAAGAAAACGCAGATTGGTTGGATATACATTGAGCGGTACTACGGCCAGACCCTCAAATGGAATCCAGGTGGGAGGTGAGTGACGGGATGGCTGTCCGAGGAAAAGACGAAAGTTTATGGGAGATCGTAGAATCAGCTAAATAAAGGCCACAGAAAACAGAGTAAAGTGTAGATGTACTGCTGGAGTCCTGTGTTACACTCCGAAAGCAAAGGAATAACAAGTGAACTCCGTAGTAAGTGTTATACTACAGAACAACTAAATCACGATGATACCCACTGATGGAGTGTGACACAGTGAATTTATAATGATATTTTAGTTGAAGGATTTCATGGTCTTACATTCCAGAGCGCTATGTTGGTTGGCATCGAACCGAAAAAATCTTTTATATGATTACTGATTTTGCGGGAATTACAATACTGTTTCATGGGCCACTTCTGAAACAAAGTTCTCAAGATCAAATTTCAGATAATTTGGATTTTGATACCATTTCTTGAAACGAGTTATTAGGTTGCAAATTGTTCCTCATTCTCTGCATTCCTATTGGAACACAATGCTTGAAGCTTCGAAGTCTCAGTAGTGGTGATTAATGTCGTTTATACATGGTGGGTTTGTTAGCTTCATGCTCAACCATCGACCAGTAAACTAACCAGCGTTCAAGAGTAAATTGACTGTGAATCGAACGGCGACCATGTACGTAGCTGGACAGTATTCTACCATAGAGGTACAGACGCTTACAGTTTACATTAGATGATTTCAATTGAGTTGATCACGGATTGATATCAGTTAGAGAACCATTGAAAACCAGAACTGGAGTACTGGAGAGCTGCTGTTTCATCCTAGTTTGGGAATCATCGTCAGTACGCACCCACCACAGTGGGATTCGAACCCAGGACATTCCGGCTACATGGCAAGCTCGTATACCATTCAACCACTGGGACCCGAACATAACTAACCCTTACAAACCAAACTATAGAAAACTAATCTGATGCTAGCTAGTGACTTGCTACAGGATGGAGTTTCCTGGAGTTCTAGTGAGAAGTCGTGACCAGTAAGGTCCATCCAGAGGTCACGTGTGAGGATGGATGTCCCACCGGCGACATTAGTTGGGATCGCGATAAATCACGAATCAGTAGAAATTGGAATTCATGAGCCATTGAATCGGGTCCCAGTTGCTGAATGGTATACGAGCTTGTCTTGTAACCGGAAGGTCCTAGGTTCGAATCCCAGTGGGTGCGTACAGCCGATGATTCCCAAACTAAGATGAAACAGCAGCTCTCCAGTACTCCAGTTCTGGTTTTCAATGGTTCTCTAACTGATATCAATCCGTGATCAACTCGCAAAAACATGACTAACCCTTACAAACCAAACTATAAAAGATTTCAATTGACACAACTAACAGTTACTGATGCAGAACTAAGTACTGGATAACGTTTTGAGCACATTTTATTGTTCATCATCATCATCGTATTCACACGACTTAATAAACTGCTTGACATGATTCGGTTTCTGTCCATTTCTGTTATTATTAATGTAATCTTCCATATAAACAAGACTGCTGTTGGTGTTGATTCGATGAATAAAGATTCAGTGATTGGGCTAACTGCATTACCTTTTAATACTTTAGACCTGTTCCACCCTATCCTTTGACTGCATGCAAGTGTATATATTTTCCAAGTTATTTAACATGCCTGGATCTGTCATTTTAGATCAAGTTAAATTTTTATGTTTTGATAACCTACCTAACCCTCTTCGATCCATATACTTGACCTCATACTGATTACTCGATATATGGTATGTGATATTATTTTGTCTGATTGGGCTATTTGAGTCATAAAGCTGACAAAGTTGTTTTGTAGGTGATTTGGTAAGCTTAAATACAATCTTAATTCTAGCCATTATTACGAATTATACATAAGGTTTCAGATATTTTCTCCTTATCCGATAGTACTGATGAGGTTTCAATATTTCCTTATTATTCATATTATAATCATTTTTTATTTACATTATCAGTCTTATTTCCCTTATGAATTCTGTTGGGAAGTTATTTAGTAGAAATCTTTTCCCCCAATTCAAATATGGAACCTAATTTCCAGCAAACGCATATTCCAAATATATCTTAATTTGCTTTTGACATTATCTATGATGAATATGACAGAAGTTTTATTTTGTAAATATGAATTAATATATTCCATATGCAAATGATTGATTTTAATGTCTTCATTTTCTGTAGAGGTTTAATTCCCTGGCAAATTCTAAAATACTAATCAACAATGGGGAAATTTTATTTCTTGGAGAAGAAAGAAGACGAATGCTTGATATTATTAGGGTTAGATCTACTGTACTTCAATCGGTTTACAGAATGTATGAAGTACAGCTTTTTGATTGGACACTAGTAACTAGTGTGATGTGTCCTAGTCCTTTCTTTGATACAGACTCACTTCTATCAGTCAGGTTTGTAATGTGGCCACCATTCTAGGTAGCTCGCCATCACGGTTCACATTGATTTGATGATATTAGATGGTTGAAGGCAATCAGCCACAGGAAACCTTGCCTGACCTAAGTTTCGTGCTAGTTGGCGCTCACCGGTCAGCAAGGCGTATCTGCAACCTTGAAGGAACTCATGTCCCTTCTTCTGAGATTCGAACCCGCGTCACCCAGTGTAGTACTGCAGTCAGAGACGTTACCATTGAACTATTCGGGCTCGCGATTGACCTCCTGTAGGACTGTAGTGGATATTTTGATTGCACACTGGTAAATAGTAAAGCTTTGTTAGACAAAATACTTGATAAAATATCAATTTTTCTTTGAGTGTTCGGATAAATAACTTGAAAATGTTCGACACATTCTGTTCACTTATGGATTATAAAGTGATTCTTTCATATCTGCCCCACATTCATTCCTATGGTCGACTTGCGTGAGGATAAAAGCTGTTGTAAGGTATTGCATCACACACACACAGTATGACGAACTCCATAACATATATTCCAGAATCATAGAAAAAGCTGACGAAACACCTTGAAGATGGCTAAACATGACATCTGGTATAATTAAGGAGTTCCTGTAAGCACAAAATACAAAGACCAAGTACCTGAGGGAACTCAAACTTTAACTGACTTCCTCTGTTCTAGCTATTCAAGTACATTGGGGGGAAAATAGGGCAAATTAGTTTTACAATAATTTATATCCTCGTGTAACAACAGAAGACAAGGGCCAGCGACAGATCCTTTTATTGCGGAAATCAACACGTATTTATATATATTTCCTGTACATTATTATAGCTTATTCAAGTAGACAAACTCAGTCTTCTGATTGGTTGTTTCGAGTAACCTCGGAAAGTGGAGCCGTCTATCTGCGAATCATATTTGCCCACGTTAAGTCTGCTGTGATTGGTTGTTGAATCAGCCTTGTTCGTATTTTCTCACGGCCAATATTAGTGACCCAGACATTGACGTAGATTAATGTCTACCAATTGGATAGCAGCCTGCTCTCACCACACTCATCCCTCAAAGTAAACAGATAATTAGCTGTACAAATCTGGAGTCAATGAGTTTGCTTCAAATTTCAGTTACAACCATTGAGTAAGAGAGATGGCATTTTCGTTAGAGGACAGAATGGTACAGATGATTATTGCGAAATTTAGCTGTTGCATGGAATTGAAATCTCAAAGATTTATTGGTTGGGAAATTATCATTTAATACTAAGTAACACAGGTAAAGCTGGATGTAGGTCAACAGATTTCTCTTCTCCTCTTATAAACTTTCACAAACTTTTCTGGATATCAGTTATCATATGATAAGTTTCCTATTTCTTCCTTGTATGTTATCCAAAGTGTTTGTTGTACAGATTTTCCTAGCACGAAACATCAGAATACCGAGGAGATTTCATTTGTATGCAGGAGCGACGAACAATCTGAGATAGGTATATTGGCCAACCCATGACTTTTTATGGCAAAAAAAACTGGATTAATGCTGTCATATGGCTTTCTCACTAGGCCTGTTGTCTTTACCATGAGTTAACTACATCTATGTATGCGTAATGTTGAATGTTTTAAGGAGAATCTCAGTATTGATTTCATTCTTATACAAGATAAAAATATCGTCTATAAATCTACAGTAAAACGAAGGCAAACTGATAACAATCCTAAGTGGAACATTCTCTTATTCTGACACAAATATATGCTCGTGGAATTGTGCAGTGATTACTCTTTAACAAGCATTCAGGATGAAAGATTTTTCTCAAAATATACATTAGCATGCTTAACTAGAAAAATATATGCATTTGCTCTTTAACTACTTGCAAGTAGTCACACAAGTACTTATAAAACATTCACTATAATCGTGTGTGGTAGAAAACAAAAGATTTATCTATGTTCCCTCCCCCCCCCCCCCCCCCCAAAAAAAAATAAAACATCACTTACCCGAGAGAAACGATTTAAAAATCGTTCTTGTACATTTGGATCAGGACATTCAAGTTTTTTAATGACATCAAAACACTGGTTGAGCTGAGTAAATACATCCACAACTGAATTCGAAAATAATGCATGTTCACTAGATCGTTGAAATCCATCCTTCTTATCACGTTCATAAGCATTGCGTAAATAGTCCATTGATACTTCATCATTTTCATTTAACCATTGCATAACAAATACTTCAAACCAACTGAAATGATAAAATTACAGAGGTGATGAATAAAAAGTTATAGGTTGTAAAAAAAAAGGAAGTCTCCTTAAATTTGACATGTAGAGGATGAAAAATACAGAGACACAAATTATCAATCTCCAGGAAAAGAAAAACAAACCAACTGTGTGAATGAGAATTCTTTTTGTAATGTAATAATAGTTTGAAAAATCCCTCCTCAATTATCTAATTACAATATGCATACTTATTTCCACTTATACTTATGTATTAGAAGTTAATTAGTAGATGGTGACTAGGAATGAAATATAATAAGCGCAATTCGTCCTATTTGTGACTCATCATTTGGATCTACCTGCATTCCACAGTGAGTGATGATATTCCCATCGAGGCTCGAATCCAGTGCCCATAGTTTCAAATGCCAAAGCATTATCCACGTGGCCACGTGGGCCAAGACACGCTCGGATATCGTCGAAGCATATGTACAAGAAGCCGACATGTCAACCTCAGAGTGGGCACTTCGGTCCAGTCAATCGACGGGAAAATCTAAAATTGAATTAAATAACTTTGTAATTATTCTCTTCTTTTCTCTTAGGTTGTATGTATCATTATCCTATAGTTCGCATATCATCTGTTGAATTAATCCTCATTGTTTTTGTCACTGTTTAGTCTCTGGCTTTAGTGGTTCACTTTGTGTTGTATGATGTGAATATGTTTGCGTAGACCAAGGTCATTCTGATCTTCCATTGTCGGTGAGAGGCGTTGGTGTGTAATTCTTGTGGATGGAGTTTAGATCCCACTCTGCTGGCGATATTCTACTCAGTTCTAAAGTACTTCTTATAGTTTAATTTTGGCTAACTGATTTCTTCTAGGGTAAGTGTTTTATACTTAGGGAAATATCTAGTCTGTATAGCTTCCTGAAGGCACTGTTGAAGTGATATTTATTTTTAATGTTATTATTGTTGAGTGTAGCTATATAGATCTTGTGACGACTGACCGTCTTCTTGCTGTATTCGGAGCGTTCTGTGACTGTGCGTGTCTCAAGGAAATTTCGGTCAGCTATACAGTAGGACGCAAAGATAGGTTTCCTGTGTTCAGACTACAACACGTCGGTTATGGTCGTTACACTTTTGGTGTAAGAAAAGCATACGGTATAGGCTATTTGTAATTATTAGAGTATTAACAATAACGATAACTGACATTTAAAGTGTCATATATAATCAGTTACGAAATAATTTCGTATCACAATGAAAAGACATTTGGGAAAAGCATATACTACTGACTGATTGATATCAGTAGTTGCATACCACTCACATCAACCAGTAGTGCTTGCTAGCCAGCCAGATCAAAGTGATGCAAATACCAGACGGCTGTTTCGCTCATTTATAGACGAGCTCATCAGTGGTATACCGGGTTTCACTCAGCTCGGAAAGCCGAGTCAGTTTAAAACACCCACCTTCTGGCTGTCTACTCAGGCTAGCTGGTGTTATCACAAGTCAAATTCGCAATTAGGAAATGAGTTGGCAATTCACCATGTACAAAGTTTGAGGGGTGAATTTTCAGCATCAGTAGTATGTAGTTTTATGCACATATACTTGCTGCCTTGATTGCTAATTATAGTAGCATTTAGACCACATACTGGGATCTGAATAATTTGGTGAAATTTCATCCCTTGAACTGTGTACATTGAAAGTTTCGAAACATTCAATTACGAAATGTATATTGAGCGTATGTTAATAAAAGAAGGTATTCATATGCCATTCATTGGATTTAGTAAGGTATTCGAGGAGATAGTTAATTTCACTGGAAAGTGGAGAGTTGCAGTTCTTTTTATTGATTATTTTGGCGTCAGTTTTGTTCGACTGGTTGATCTGCTTAATAAGTACTAGTAACGTTTGACACCTGAACCTATTCTATTCATTCTTTTTGTATTGAATATCGACAGCGCTTTGATTCAGTCAGGATGTCTTGATGACAAATGCTGGCAGTTGTAGGCGTCTTCTCAATTTTGCGTGTGCAAAACCAACCATTTTCTAGGAAGATGAAGTAATATGGAATTAGTTTCTATGAAAAACCGTCTGTCTACACTCCTGCAGTGTTCATATTCTAAGCGAACGTAAATGAGAATTCTACTGGCCATAGGGAGAAAATTTGTCAGGAAGAACACCTCTGTTTTAGGGATTTATAACTACCTAGGTATGAAAACAACTGTCACATCCAAAAGAATAAGATAGAAACGAATTCCTAAGAGGCTTTATTATTAGCAATTTAATAATATTTTATTAATGAAACTTAACACAGTATAACAACATTTTTAAGAGATGTTTAACACTGGTGTAATATTTTGTGTGACTGAGAAATATCTGATGAAGAGAGAAATATATTCTACTTTTTATGCAAACTCGTGTACATACTTGACGCCAGGAAGCGATATCTGGTGATTATTTCAGTTTGGGCTCCATATGAGCCTGTGGCTACGATTTCGTAGAAGGAGGTTGAAGGAAGAGACCAGCGAAGTTTCTGGCAAGAAGAGCTAAGGCCATAAGTATAAAACTTAAGGAGATATAAATCGTACTTGTATTAGAAGCTCGTCATATATAATCAATATTTAATGTGATATCATCAATAAACAATCCCATCAACACCAAACACTTTGAAGTGAAATGTATATCGTCATAAACATCGAGTCAAAATAGAGCACTATGAAAATACATTTTTAGACGAATGAGAGGCAATATGACAGTATTTGTAATCTTATTCAATAGCCTTATATACGTCGTTAAGATATCGAAAATAACCTGTGCACGAAACGTAGACTTATAGCCTAGTCAAGTCGTCATATATAGAGAGAATAGACAACTTACCGTGGATACTCAGGTACAACATCCTTTTGTGATGGAATTATAGCCACATGTTTATTATAGAACCATTTCAATTTAAAGCATAGATTCATATAGTCTGATGATTTACAATAACGTGTTTCAGCACGTGAATGAACATCTAGAGCAATTTGTATATCCTCAGATAAACGCTCCCACATACACAGCGCACTTATGTGGCCCATATTAACTTCTTGGGGAAATCTAGGGAAGAAAAATAAACAAAAGGAGGAGAAAGATTCGTCATTAACAAGTAATACAAGTCGAGGAGAAATTCCGTCGCATTTTCATATTTAGATCATAGTAAAATTAATTAATATAGATTTAAACTGACGCGTCGCATAATCAGTACTAATTTTATTATAAAATTAAGTAACACAGAGACGTAGTGCAGTACTCGGTGCATTTCATTGACTAACGGTAGCGCCATATACCACGAATTCGCAGAAGTCAGAACTCGTGAGGCATAAGATTCATTTCCGTTGGTTGAATGACAAACAAGCCGACCTTGTACCTCGAGGGTTCTTAATTTGAACCCGGATGGGTTGTATACTGCTGAATAGTGTTAAAGAAAGACAAGACAGCAGTCCAGTACACTCTGGTTTTTAGTGATTCCCTAACTTATGACAGTTCATGAACTAAATTGATATGACAAACTGTTAAAATGTAAATGAACATTCCCTCTTTACCTTCGTCTTTTCATTCAGTTCCAGAAATAAAATAGGCTTTCATTGTTCTTTATATCAGACTGATAGTCACAATGAATATTCCGTTGATGTAATGTTTACAAATGAATGAATTGTAGGGCTTTACGATTATCCTGGGAACTTGCGGACGACAGATGAGAGAACTAATTCCAGCAAACTTGAGCTATGGAGTAAATACAATATCAAATAGCGGTAGAGTAAGACCCCTGATAAGTATCCTGAAGTATCGTCTTCTTTGATATTTGGTAGTAAATATTTCACCGGGCACAGTGACCTAATAAACATTTGACTTAAAAAGGGATTCACTGGGGCAGGGACAGTTTTACTTTTTGATGTGGTTTTGTTCTCTGAGCTGGATGGTTAGTTTGCGAAGCTTTCATCACCTTACTGGGTGACATCTTCAGCGCATACTTCAATTTGAAGTATGCGCTGAAGATGTCACCCAGTAAGGTGATGAAAGCTTCGCAAACTAACCATCCAGCTCAGAGAACAAAACCACATCAAAATCATCCACCTGAGCTACAAATCTTCTCTATAACAGTTTTACTTTTTACCACTATCTCAATAAAAATCTTATGATTTTTGTAGTAAAATGTTGAAGTCCTTGGCATCATTTTAGCCAAGGCTGGTTATTGCAAGGCGTCTATAATAATAGTAGCTTTATTCTGGAAAGTGCTTATATAATGTATAAAGTTTTCAGCGGAGTTTATCGCATAGTATTTTCCCTTCGTACATGATGTTCAAATCAAATACGAATTGACGGTAGATCCTGTGACATAATGCTCTCCGACTTGATGCACAAACCAATCCATTAGGATACTTCTACTCTGTCTCCTTCGAGAAATCCACGACATTTGGTTGAAAGCCAAATTTAAAAACATTCAGGTGCATATTTTGAGACCGAAGGAAATTTCTGGATAATCCCCATCCGGGCATTAATGAAAACAAAACATGTGGATCAGCGAAGAGCCTCTTTTCGTCGAATTCATTTTCTTAGCTGTACAATCGCAAATATATGTTATTTTGTATGTATGTGTACATTAAGTATGCCAAACAAAATTGCAATTGGTTATGGTTATTTTAACTAAAAAGGTGAAGATTGGTAATACAAGTCAATAAAATTAGGTGTTGATGAAATTAGGATAGTAAAAAAGGTGATGAGTTGTCACAAACAGGTTTTAAAGGAAGTTATGTAATAATTTGAATAGTCTGATGAGTGAGTTTTACTCAGGATGCACATAGGAACAAAGTAGACAATACGAAATTACGTAAGAATTCTAAATAAATACAAGAGTTATAAGCAATTAAACAACAGACAAAGAAACGAAATTAAGTCACCAAAATCAAAAAGTTATTACCATGACAGTAGAAGTGGTTGAGTAATCTTCTTTTGCATGCACATCTCCGGTTTTTCTATGTGAATGGCCAGAGCTTAAGCGATACAAAGAAGACGAAACCGAACTGCCTTTGATAGGTTATTCTTGACTCTGTAGATTACTTTGAAGGAGGCGTTTGTTGAAATGGAATGATCAGTGTTAACCAAGTGTTCAATTATCGCACTCCTTATTGCACCACTATTGCCTTTTCGCAACCATGCTGGATAGTGCTCTTGAATCCTCTTGGACAGGGTGCGCGTCGAACGACCGATGTACCTGGCTCTACAGCACCAGGTGAACTGATATATGCACACAGAAGTGATCAGATGCGGGATCTTGTCCTTAAGACTTCTGCAGATCAGTGGGCGACTGGAGAACACTATTCTTAGCGTTGCTGCAAAGAATGTTCTTCTCAGAGATGATGTGATCCTTCTCTTGAGAACAACGCTTGCTAAATCTCCCTTGAAATCCAAGTTCGCATAGAGTTTCTTTTTAGGCGCAATTAAAGTCTCGTTTCTCCAAATTATTGGTTTGATATTTTTGTCGATGAATCTTATTAGGTATCCATTTTGGATGAAGATTTCTCTTAGAATATCTGATTCTGTTTCCAGAACGTCGGGACTACAGATGCGTCGGATGCGGATGGCAAGTGATTTAATCAAATTTCGCTTTTGTTGAATGGGTACCCAGCTATCGAAGCTTGTCAGTTGACCATTCCACGTGGGTTTTCTATGGATCGATCTTCTTAGGCTCCCATACATACAAAATAACACACATATTTGCGATTGTACAGCTAAGAAATTTAATTCACCGAAGGAAGTAACTTGAGAACAGTTATATCATGTATTGGGACGCGCCACCCACAATCCAGCCTTTCCTCATTTTAAGTAGAAACTTGCTCATCAATAGGTTGTAAACATTTTAAATTCTCGCAGGAATATACGATACCATTAGAGGTCATATTTTAGTCAAATAAAACAAGGCGAACAGGAGAAATTACACATAGTATAGAGACAGAAGTTTTTTGTGGCCCAAATTTAAAGCAGACTGCCTGTGTTTAACAAAGCATGTAACTGCAGTTAAATAAATTATCAAAACAGGAAATCAAGTGAAGTTAATGATTACTGTAATGATAAAATAAAACCAAAAGATAAACAAGGGAAAACTTACTGGTTAATCACAGTAGCATATGTTGTCTTGTCTTCGTCAATTACTGAGACTAATAATGTGATTAAACGATGCCAAAATTCCAGAGATTTTAGTGATGGTGGGCCATCATCCTGTGAAACTGACTCCTAGTGATATGAGAAGGAGACATAGATGATGTTAGGAAATGTTTGCAATAGTTCTGTTATTGTATACCTATAATGATACTACTGCAATTGTTAAAGTTCATCAGATATTATTATTGTTGCCTTTAACTCCTAGAGGAGCATAGGACTTCAGTCGAATGTCTCCATTGCGTTCACTTCTCCGTCAACGTCTTCACCTAGCTCCAGATCTGCCCACATGTTTTTATCTCCTCTTTACATCACCTCCTCGTCCATGTCATCCTTGAACTGACGACCAACTTGCCACTTCCCATTCAGGTTCCACTCGAGAGAGATGGCCTGGCGTGTGGTGTCACTCACTTGATGGTTTGTTTTCTCAGAGTATGGTCAACCTACTTCCATTTCTTCCTGCTCATTCGTTGCACAACTGGTTCCTGCTGCGTTGATTCACTCTCAGAGACCTGTTTTGCTGATGTTTTCTGGCCGGCCATCTTATCTTGAGTGGTATGGAGAAAAGACAGTTATTGATGAAGGTCTGTAGTTTGTTCGAAAATGGCCTTCGTGACACGACGCCAATTCTCTGATCCATGTAGTAGCACTTACTTCACACTGGAGTTGAAAATCCGCATTTTGTTTTTTATACTGAGTGCTGTTGACCCCCACACAGACTTGAGATTAGTGGAAACTCACCTTGCTTTCCCGATCCTCGCTTTGATACCCTCATCAGTTCCGTCCACCTGTAGTTGAAACGACGCTTCCCAGATAGGTAGGTAGGTAAGGGAGGTTACTTCTTTTAGATTTCTCCCATTTATGCTGGCTGATTATTGTCTGTTGTTGTTGGTGTTCATTAGATAAAACAGTGTAAAATAACTCAAGAGGATTCTGGAATAGATGCTATAGAATCTACCGTGCATCGATGGTTCAACGGTAGAATAACTGCTTATCACCCACTTGACCCAGGGTTCGACCCACGGCAGACTCACTCCTTCACCTCATTTAGCCGGTAGTGAACTCGATAAAGAGGGTAGGTTGAGCTTGAGGCTAGTGAACCCACTCCTTAACAAATAAATACCACTGTCACTGAAACTTCGAAGCTCAGAGCTTGAATCCCTATATTCTACTCGAGATGCCAAAAATTACCACACGAGAATAGTTTAAATAATAATGAGTAATCTACCAAAGTAGTCAGTGAATAGTAAACTAATTGCTTGTATTGTGTCACTTACATTTATAAGAATTGATCAACTTTTAAGAGGATCTATTCAAAAGAAAGTTTACTCTTCACAATTCACGCTCTGTTTCCGCCCACAATCTATTTTTAGTCAGTCCATTAAGGATAGATTATACGCTCTCACTTCATTAACTTCATTAACACCAAAATAGTACAGATGATAAGGTTTATTAGTTTATCTCTTTTTCCATATCGATGTGTTTGTTATTGAGTCTCAGTAAAACATTTTCTTGAATAAATAAATAAATAAATATATGCAAGATTTAACAGTAGAACTGTTTTCTTTTCTTAGAGTGAAGAATGTGTTGAACGCTTTAACTGTACATAGAATAAACGTGAAAATTCATGTTTTCATTTTATGCATCCGTAGAAGTAGAAGATTAGATTTATATTATTCCCTTGGGTTCCTAGTGGAACATAGGGCTTCAACTGCATGTATCCACATGCCATTTCTGTCTTCCTTCCGCTGTACTTCTCACCTGAATCCATCTTAGCCCATACTCTTTCAACTCCTCTCTCTTCACACGATCTCGTCCATGCCACCCTTGCACTGACGTCCCACTCGCTGCTTCCCTTTCGGCCTGGTTCCACTCGAGCAATGGCCTGACGCACGCGCGATCTCACCCAGCGGTGGCCTCCTCAGCGAGCGAGTGTCCAATCCATCCATCTCCACTTTCTCCTGCATATTTATTCGGCGATTGGTTCGTTCTTGTTTTGTTTGTTCCCATAGTTTCTTGTTGGTGATTCTTTCCGGCCCGGCCATCTGATCTTCAGTATAGAGCCACCGGAGACAGTTGTTGATGAAGGACTGAAACAGGCTGTTGGAAATATTCTTTGTGAGAAGATTAGATTAGTGGATGAAAATATGCAGGATGAACGGTGAAGTACAAAAAACAGATTGGGAGCCCATATGCATATCTAGAATACGGGCAGATGTGCTAAAGTCTGAACCATAGACTTACTCAAACCAATAAGGTACACACACTTCTATTTTATACAGTAAAACAAAATTTAGAAAAAAAAACACAGTCATTAACGTTGTCACGCAGTTTTCATTTCCAATTCATTTTGCGTTCAAGCCCCTAAGTTTCTATAGTGTGTGGGTTTTATCATTGAAGAACGGGGTTGCTAGCCTCAGGTCCAACCTACCTCCTTCTTTAGGCTAGTAAACTAGACACGATTTAAATGTGCATCGGCCGGGAATCAGAGCCGGACCCACTGCATGACTGCTGAGCATTTTACCACTGAAGAACCTACACTTCTCGAAACTACACATATATATTTTGACCATATACCATCTAGAAATATACGTATGTTTGTTAGAACTGCTTAGTGAATGTAAACCCACTACTTGATTTATTTAGTGTTAGTGATGTACAAGCATAAATCTGTTATCATTACAACTGACTGTAAATAATGTATTTGTTAATGGAGTGTCATCATTGTCTAGTTAGATGAATGCATTAATTCCATAAATGTGTTGGAATATACATATATTAATAAAATATCGCTAAGATTTATAGATCATAGTTAATCATAGTGGAGATGCTCTAAAAGGGGACAAACACTCTCTTATTTCTTTCACTCTGAGCTGAACACACAGAGAGAGACATGTGCTTATCGTATTTAAACAATCAAATGGTACAGATGAAACGAACTAGCCTAATATTAATAAATATTAATAATGAAATAGATCAGTAGTATGCAAATCAAGGTTGATTAGTTGGTAAATTACATTTAAATGATAGAAATAACAATGGAGATCAATAAACCGAAGAAGGCAGATAATAGTACATCTGCCCCGGTATCAAAACAAAGTTTACCAAGAAAGGTTTGGTGTGATGACGAACTGCTTTTGAAAGTATAAAGGTGATGTAAACCTCCTAGTTGCTAGGGCTTCCACACAATTTAGGGTTCGCCCCAAACATCAATTTGACATTCTGTCTTTATAATGTGTTTCTCAGTAGAAGGGCTAAGCCGACTGTTCTCACCATTAATGGTTTGTGGGAATTCCATTTGTTTCTGAAGCCATTTAAGAACATGCTCTGAAACCAGTCCTTACTTTCAGAGATCGATGAGTCCTCCCTATATATGTAACAACAGAAGACAAGGGCCGGCAACAGATCGTTTTATTACGGAAATCACTTATTTATACATATTTCCTGTACATTATTATAGGTTATCAAGTAGACGAACGCAGTCTTCTGATTGGTTGTTTTCCAGATTTCTCGGAAAGTGGAGCCATATATCTGCGAATCACATTTTCCCACGTTAAGTCTGCTGTGATTGGTTGTTGAATCAGCCTTGTTCATATTTTCTCACGGCCAATATTAGTGACCTAGACATTGACGTAGATTAATGTCAACCAATTGGCTAGCAGGCTGCTCTCACCACATATATATGTGTCCCCACGTACATTTAAATTGTTAAGTACAGTGGGATGCAACATCATCCGTCGTATGTTCTAAGGGCTTAGATGTCCTTTTAATTTGATCTGTGTCTATTTTCTCACCCCTTAAGTATTTATCATTTTCATGCACATGCATATCCATATGACAAGTACGTTTGTGATCAGATTGTTCGAAGTGTCTTGAGCAATTACACAATTACACGATTCAGATAAGTTACATCTTCTTCCTATTGCTTTGTCGAAATTCATAAAGGGAACTAATTGTTTCAAATATAAGTGACCATTTAACTTCATGGTATATTAATAATATTTTATAAAGAGCAGTGACAAATACTCAAATACTGTCAAGAATTAAAAGGTAACAAGTGAATATTTAAGACCCAAAAATAGATAAGCACTGTGGAAAGAAAAAAGAATAGTCACTAGGCAAAGCAGAAAAGGTGTACTTACCTGAAATTGTTTCGCGTACACTTCATTGACATTTTCATAAATAAATTGATAAGTTGACTGCATACAAGCACGAGCACATTCTTTCACCACTTGACTAGCTCTTGGTGGACTAGTTAACTCTTGTACCTTAATGTGAATGTGTAGAAAATGTGTAGGAAAAGTGTTTAGTGACTGGTATACTAATATAAGTGATTATTCATCGAATTTCATGTGATAACTACATATTTCCAGTAGTTAAGTATACTGTTTAAAAATAGTAAACAAATATGCAGTTTTGATGTATAATTATAATAATGATCGCTTTAACTCTTGAGGATTGAGCAAAGACAGCTGTAAATGAAAGTCTGTAGTTTGTTCGCAGTGGCCTTCGTGACGTGGCTCCAAGTCTCTGCCATACGGGTCAGAGACATAGCGCATCATGAAGGCCACTTCGAACAAACTACAGACTTTCATCAACAGCTGTCTTCGCTCAATGCCACTCAAGATCAGATGACCGGTCAGAAGGAATTAGCGACAAAAACCCGTGGGGATGAACCAATCAAGAATTTATTCGTCAACGAGTATCCCGAAGAAGATGAAAAGGAGACCGATGGGTAACATCGCTAGCCAAGAAGGCATGCTGAATGCTAATCGAATATTTAGCGACTAGTTAAGTGTCCAAGAGTGACAGGAATGAGATCATGTAATGAGGAAATTAAAGCTTATGAGCAGTTGTGGAGCTAGCCGAAAAAGACCTAAGAGAACAGCTTGAAATGAAAATGTATTGCTGAACGCAAAAAACTAAAAATAATAATATGGTGATAAAGTTGCTATTTTATGGTAAATACCCAAGAAATAGGCTACTGGAGGCTTGGAAGGCGTCGGGACTGAACACAGCTCCTCCTGAAGCACTGAAACCGCAGTGGATATACTCATGCTACTACTGCAAAACTTTTGGAGTAGAAAAAAGCTACCTACTCATTGGCAAAAAGCCACCTTGTCAAACTATCAAACAAAGATGACATTAGGCCTTTTCAAGCACTGGTGCGGAATCATGCTCTTGTTTATGCTAAGCAAAATATTAATTTGCGTCATTCTGGAGAAACTAGAAGTTGCACTGGGTGAAGAAATTCATCAGAAACAAACTGGATTCAGGAAAGGAAAATAATGTGCTAATAAAATTGCAACTCCATGCATTATCATCATCAAACAGAGAATAGAATGGTAGTTAAGTGTCTACCTCAACTTCATGCACTTTGAAAGGGCCTTCGACAGCATTGACCCAGAAGTAATTTGGGAAGTAATTCAACACTAGGGAGTGCCGCAAGTCTTTATCATTCTGAACCAACAACTAAAGGCACGCTTCAGGTGATCCACAACGGAAAACCCAGGGAGGGGTTTGGAGCGAATACAGAAATGGGACTAAGCTTCCTATTATTATCAATAACGACATTCTTAATTGTAGTGGGGTGGATCGTGCATAAGAAAGTGAGTACAGGAATACGTTGGACCGATAAGAAGACTCTGGAATATCTGGAACTGGCAGTTTATTTCTGTCTAGTGTCATATAAATTCGAAGACTTAGATGCGAAAACCAACTAGTTGTCGGAAGAAGTAGAAAAGACAGGACTTTAAGGGAAAACAAAAAAGACAATGGGAATGAGGATACCTAATGAACGGTAGCAACAAGCACCGATCACCGTCACTGAGTGAGATTTGGAGAGATTCACTTCTTTCACTTACCTAGGAAGCATCAGTTCAACTACAAAAGACAGAACGGTAGCGATTTCAAAACCGGAATTGGAAAGATAAAAGCAGACATTCGTCACACTGAAATCTGTATGGAAATCTCCTATACTTAGCACAAAGAACAAACTTTGGATTTTCTGTGCTAATGTTAAGTTGGTTCTTCTGTATGAGTCAGTAACTTGTTACGTCACATAAAGCCTTTCTAAAAAGCGACTGTAAACTTTTATTAAAAGTTGCATGAGTTGCCTCCATAGTGAAGATTAAATGACCAGCCAGGAAGAATTAGCAACAAGGAAATCTGAGGAAAAATCAATTAAGGGCCTATAGCTGTTAAAGTATCCTGAATAAAATGGAGATTGTTGCGACATACTCTAAAGAGACCGCTGGATGACGTCACGCGCAAGGTTTTCAAGTGGAAGTGAAATGAAGAACGGTTAGTTGGACGTCCGATGAAGGTATCGTGAGATCGTTAGAACACGATATGAGAACCTATGGACAATCGTAGCGCCGGCAAAGAGGATTGCATAGAACAGGAAAAAAAGTGAGATGCTCTGCTGAAGCTCTATGTTCCACTTGGAACCCAAGGGAATAATAACAATAAATAAAATAACTAAAGAAATAGAATAAAGTCAATAACAGCAACAAACGTATAACCTTGATAAATAAAAAATCATTAACAATGATATCAAAGTAAAACTAATAAATAGTCATGAATAGATCAGAAGATAAAACTGATTTGACTAATATTAAAGAGAAAAACAACACAAAAAATTAAAACTAATTAGAGACAAAAAAAGAAACGGAGAAAAAGCCTCTCCTTTTAAATTCCCATATATATTTTTTTCTTTTTTAAGCAACTTACTTTCATTCTGAAGAATGTTATACTTGTTAGCAAGTCGACAGTTGATTTCAAATCTTGTAATTTGTCAGGTTGTGAAGCAGGAAATGAATTCTATATGAAAGCAAATAAAACATTTTGTATGTTAAAAGTAGCGTTGGCACAAATTATGAAGATTTGTAGGAATTGTTTGTATAAAGAGATAATGATTAGAGTTTGAAATGAAATCTTAGCAACGAAGAAGATATTCAAAGTTTTAACTAGAATTAACTGGAAAGAAGACATGATTCTAGGTTTTTTGCATGCATAAAGAAGGTATATTTGTTACAATGAGTTTAACTCCTATAGATATGGGTTATTTTTATGAATCGGACTTTGGATAGTAATCGATGAAGTCATCTAGTTTCTTTTGCGTTGATTGAAATCAACTCATCCAGACCAGTTACTAAGATATGTGATATGATGCTGCCAGGAATTACTTTGGACTTTTGGAGGAATTAGTCAGCTGGTAGCTATGAGCCTGTATTTCATGTTTATTTGGTAAAATGAATACCACATGATTTAGTTTCATAATGACTTGATTCGTGCGTCGGTGGTGCAGCGGTAGACTGCTGGGCAAACACACATATGGTTAGAGGTTCGATTCCTGGCCGACGCACTCCTTCACCTTGCTAAGGCAGTAATAAGACTGGTAAAGAGCGAAAGCTGGGCATGAGGCTATCAACGTTATCCCGTATAAATAAATACCATTGGTACAGAAACTTCAAGCCTTTAGTTTGAAGCCCTATGTTCCACAAGGAACGTAAAGGAACAAGCAAAAATGACTTGATTACCCTGTTTATTCTTGGTACTACATAATTTAGCGTCATCTTGATTCGAATTGAACTTAAGTGATATTACTTTTCGTAATATTTAGAAGCAATTATGCCTTAGAAGCGAAAACCAACAAACTGGTCGAAGAAGCAGCCGGTAAAGACAGGACTCCAGGTGAACATAGACAAGACGCAGGTGATGAAAATAACCAACCAACAACAACAACAGTAACATCCAGAGCCAATCACCATCAACGGAAGGGATTTAGAAGAGGTTATTTCATTCACTTATCTAGCATTGAGCATTGTCTCAACTACAGCCAGTCGGAACGGACGAGGATGTCTAATCGAGCGAGAATCAGGAAGGCGAGAAACATATTCATCAACCTGAAACCAATCTAGAAATCTTCGTCACCCAGCATCAACAACAAAATTCAGTCGGATTTTCAATACAAACGTCAAGTCAGTCAGCTCTTCTATACGGATCGGATCAGAAACTTGGCGGGCGGGTCACAAAGAATATTTGCAACAACCTATTGCAAACCTGCATCCTACATCAACAACTGTCTTCGCTGGATCTATACTGAAGATCAGATATCCGGACCGGGCCGGAAAGAATCACCAACAAGAAACAATGGCTGGGAACAAACAAACAAAACAAGAACCAATCGCCAACCAACAAATATGCAGGAGAAAGTGGAGATGGATGGATTGGACACTCGCTCGCTGAGGAGGCCGCCGCCGGGTGAGATCGCGCGTGCGTCAGGCCATTGCTCGAGTGGAACCAGGCCGAAAGGGAAGCGGCGAGTGGGACGTCAGTGCAAGGGTGGCATGGACGAGATCGTGTGAAGAGAGAGGAGTTGAAAGAGTATGGACTAAGATGGATTCAGGTGAGAAGTAGAGCAGAAGGAAGACAGAAGTGGCAAGTGGATACGTGCAGTTGAAGCCGTATGTTCCACTAGGAACCCTAGGGAACAATTATAATAATATCTATGCCTTAGTGTTTTAGTTCTCAGTCTATCCACACCTTGCTGTAATAAATGTAGTTGAAGACGATAACCTTTACATGTTAAACACCTTTTCCTCACACATACTCGGAATCCTGTAAACTAATGTTGTTATATAGACCTTTTTAAAAACGTTGTCAATTTTTCTTTATTTATAGAGCTGTTCAATTTGCGTAGGCTCTATAAAGATGGAGCCGAATGATATTATAGCAAAAATAGACATTTTCTGAAATTTATATACTTTCTAACAATGATTCTATGAGTATATTACATACTGTTGACCACTATTATTGTTATTATCATTACTATTATTTCGGTTTGTTTATGACTGTGTTCACGTTCATCCCTATTCTTTCCCTATGGAAACTTTTGCTGTCAAGCACACAGAAGTATTAAAGAAAGGTACTTATAAATGCCACTATCGGGTGACGAGAGATCAATTCAATAAATGATGAGAAAGCTACTGAGATACACACAGTGATATGAAGTAGCCAGAATTAAGAAGTATAAGAAATATTGAAGATAGAAGGAATAGAGGGTATAAACATTTAAGTATACACTAAAATAATGATTAAATATTTATGGAGTGTTTTTGTTTTAAGTTTGTCGGTGATTGTGTGGTAGAATGCTCGCCAGCAACACATGTGATCCTGATTCGATTCCCGGACGACATACTCTATAACCCGGTAGTAGGCACAGTAAAGAGTGCAGGTTGCAAATGAAGCTAGCAACCTTACCCCGGAAAAAATATCACCGCTACTGAAACTACAAAGCTTAAACTTGAAGTCCTTTGTTCCACTCGAACCGCAAAGGAAGGAGAAGAAATGTTACACTGAGAATAGTAAACTTGTGATGAGAGTTGGCTGCAAACTGAAACTTGTAGACAACAATTCACGTTAATGTTCATGTCTTGAATCAGGGTCATGAGAAAAACAGTAACAAAGCCTAGCCTTAAGGAACTCACCAACCAATCATAGCAAAGTTAACGTGTGTAAATAGGATTGACAAATATATGGCTTAACTTTCTCAGAAACGGTCACAAGCAGTACATAATAACCTTCAGAGAGAAAACAACCCGTCAGAAGATGTTGCCTCTCCGCTGACAATAATGTACATAAAAATCCATAAATATATCTTGATTTTCTCAATAAAGGATCTGTTGCCTGGCCCTCGTTTTCTGTCGCTCTAAACCAACCTCCTTAATTGTAGTATTTACCGCAAGAATGATATTCTATACTTTGTTATTTAAGATAGATAACAGTTACATTATTGATATAAGTATAAAACTTGGGTACTATGGTAGAGCATAACCCCATTACGGATACGATTTTATTTTGATAAATCACACAGTGCTTTACAGTAATATTAACTGATGACGTTTAGAGCACAAATTATTGCTCATAATCACTATTTTTTGTGCTCGAAACGTCACCAGTCAAGAAAGAAATATTTAGTTAAATATGGATTGATAAATCATAGAAAAACAGATAATCTAGAAGAAACCGCAACCGTCTAAGTATATGCATCGATCCACAGTCAAACTCTGGGTTAAGATACTGTGATAGTTCTAAACTATAATATACTCAAGTGGAGAAAAGTTGACTGTTGGCGCTAGAGTTTAACAAGTAAATACTAAATATGCATAACTACAGTGATTAACAACATCCGATGTGGGGAATTCACTTGTCAGTAAATCTGATAGAACAATACACTAAAGAAGTGCAAAGATTGGTTATAAAACATGTGTGAGCATGCTTATGTACAACAGAGTATGTCCGAAACGTGACTCAGTATATTGTATCTTATCGGGTCAAACTGACTGAAGTCTCTTTTTTGGATGTTATCATTTTTGTTGTACATGGATGCTATCATTCTGGCTTACATTTCCAGTCGTTATGTATTGTCATTTCAGATAGTAATCGTCTTATCGTATACACTGTAGTGTAAAACAAATAAATCTTTAAAGGTGAAAGAATTACTTTTAAAAATGATAAAAAAAAATGGTGGTCGGTCAAATCCATCAACTGCTAATTGAAGTCACCACTTGCCAGAATTCGAATAGTTCGAACTAATTCATCTCTGTGAGCTAACTCAAACCGAGTACATTGCTGATGACTCTAAACGAGAGAAACGGTGATGCCTGACCAGACTTGAGCCCAACTACTCATATCAATTATTCAGTAGTATATAGCATTAGAGCATAAGATAGCTTCGTTGTCAGATATTCCACAGGTGAGCTTAAAGGGTGTTCATAGACTGCAAAAATTAAGGCGTCTGAAACAAACTGTTCATCGACCGAATGGATGTTAAAAGGATTGTGAATGAAAATAGCAATAAACCAGAAATCAAGGAAGCATAGAATTCGGACACCGGCGTAGAATGTAATTCAGCATTAGATAAGTTTATGCGAAATAACTAGTTATCATTCCCGTATCAATGTCTGTCACACTAAATCAACTTATCTAATACGGAAAGCAGAAGTCAGAAAAAATAATCAATACTGCATTAGGACTGATGATTTTGACAGATATAGTGACTAGTTGCCTTTCAAGTATGATGGATTAATCACAGAGAGATATGCAGCTGTCAAATATTATATATATATATATATATATATATATATATATATATATCCGTTTAGTGGCAATGAAAAATCACTTCAGTCTGATATGAGCTTCCTTGAAACTGACAGTTTGAATTTGAGTTGTCGATGTGCATATATATATATATATATAAAACCTTTATTTCAAACACTACGTGAACACAGTGCAGAAATTTTCAGCCTTTCATAATATTTCGTCTTCACGCAGGATTTACACTTAAAGTAATAATCTAAAGTATGTTGTTTGACATGATGTTGTTGCTTATGAAGAGAAAACCAATTCTGTACACCTTTTTGTGCATTTCCTTCAAGAATAACTCAGTGTTTCGTTGGAAGCTAATTATTTTTCTATAGTTTGGTTTGTAAGGGTTAGTTATGTTTTTGCGAGTTGATCACGGATTGATATCAGTTAGAGAACCATTGAAAACCAGCACTGGAGTACTGGACAGCTGCTGTTTCATCTTAGTTTGGGAATCATCGTCAGTACGCACCCACTGGGATTCGAACCTAGGACCTTCCGGTTACAAGACAAGCTGGCTCGTATACCATTCAGTCACTGGGACCCAATTCAATGGCTCATGAATTCTAACTTCTACCAATTCGAGATTCAGCGTGACCCCTTACAAACCACACTACAGAAAATTAATCTGATGCTAGCTAGTGACTTGCTACAGGATAGAGTTTCCTGGAGTTCCAGTGAGAAGTCGTGACCAGTGGGGTCCAGTTAGATGTCACATGTGTGGATGGATGTCCCACCAACGAGAATGGTTGGGGTCGCGCTAAAGCACAAATTAATAGAAGTTAGAATTCATATGGTGGTCATTAAGTCGGTTCCCAGTGGCTGAATGGTATACGAGCCAGCTTGCCTTGTAACAGGAACGTCCTAGGTTTGAACTCCCTGTGGTGGATGCGTACTGCCTATGATTCCCATACTCGGATGAAACAGCAGCTGTCCAGTACTTCCTGGTTTTCAGTGGTTCTCTAAGTGATATTTATTCGTGATCAACTTGTAGAAAGCTAATTAAATATGTGCGCGAGTTCATTCAGTGAATATTTGATATAATTATATAATTAAAACAATAATAAACAAAAGAAGAGTTTAGGCATTTTGGTGGATCGAAACTCTGGTAGTCCAGTGATTTAAGCAGGCCACCGTTATATGCCTATCTTGAAGCGTAGCTTAGACATGAAACTTGAATTTAAAAAAATAGGAATGGGTCATAAAAAGAACTTATGTCAAAAGTAAAAGCTGAAGAATTATCTATCATGTTATGTACTGTTATAGTAATATTCACATTTCACTTACACGATACATTGACAAGCTGATACGTAGAGAGTTGTGCAGTTGATCCAACAGTTTAACAAATTTCTCTTTCTATTAAATAGAAAATCAAAAATAATGCTGGTTATAAATCTGATTGAATAAAGTTGTCAGATTCTTGACAACGTTAAGACAATAGTCATTTTACAATCAATTGAATAAACATAATAAGTTTGGAGTTTTAAAAGAAATAATAGTTGCCCTTAGTTTTTGCTGCATTTTATTATAGCAAGAAATTAAATATTAGAGTGAAACTAAATCAGGTCTTCACTTAATATAAGTATAACAGCTTAGCATTGTGGTAGTGTGTAATTCTACTAGACAGTGTACGCATCGACTCAAAGGTCGGGGTAATTCAACTCACTTATGAATCAGAAAATCATGAAGGTGAGCCTCCAATATTATACTGTGTCACAAAAAAGGGAGTTGAAATTGCTTAGAGAACCACTGGAAAACCCATGTGGACTGTAGAGCTGTTTCAGCTTAGTTTAGGATTCTTCAGTAATGCTTACCCATTGGGGCTCGAACCCAGGACTTCCTGGTTGCGAAAGCATTAGGTCAGGTTCCAGTGGCTGAATGGTCTACGAGTTCGCTTTGTTACCGAAAAGTCCTGAGTTTGAATTCCTGTGAATGTGGAGTGATGAAGTGTCCCAAGTAGGGCCAAAACGACTGCCTAACGTTCCCTGGTTTTCCTATGGTTCTCTAACTGGTATCAGGTTGTGATCAGGCATTTTTGGTCAATCAAATCCCTGCAAACCAACACTTCACGAAAAAAGGAAACAAGTTGAGAAGTTAAAAAGTAGTGTTTATAGAAAACCCACTCATTCAAACAGATATTTGGACTCACAATCATTCCACCCTACGGGAGTAAAAATAAGATTATTGAAATGTTTAAGTAATGGAGCAAAAACACTAAAAGGGACCAAGGAAAACATACGGCAGAAAGTAAGGCATATAAGAGAAGCTCTGAAACATAGTAATTACCCTGCTAAATTAATCAGGAAGTATGTAGGAAATTGTAAGATTAAAATTAAAAATAACAATAATAAGGACGATAAGCATGATACACATACAGAGAAAGGCGACAACACCAATAATAGAAAATTTAAAATATCAACAGTGTGTCCATACAAAGAAGGAACCTCTTGAACCTTAGGTAGAAATTTTAACATGGCAGGAATGAAAGTGGTTATTCAAATACACATACTCACTTAAAAACAAATCATGTCAGTTAAAGTATCCTGTGAAGCCCATTAAGCAAAATAATTTGGTTTATCTCATGCCCCGTAATTGTAGCCAGGTCAAATACATGCAAGAGTGTAGTAAAACGGGGTTAATAAGATTAGCGGAGTACAAAAACCTAGCAGAAACTAGATTAGCTGACGCTAGTGAGATAAGAAATCTAGAAAACAAGTCACCTATAGAAATATGCGCGGTTACACACAAAACGCATACAATAGGATGGGACAAGATGAATGTCTTAAAATCTCATGTAACCAAGTGAAGGGAAAGATATAGATAGCTGAAGCTTTATTTATCGAATCAACTGAGAATACATTAGATAGGAATGATTCACTGGGAAATTCTGATATCCTAACGACAAGCGCAAAGGAAGAAAGAAAATCATAAAACTCAAGTTTCGAAGTGACAAAGTGGTTATGAACAATGAATTGTGTTCAAAATATCATCCATTAGGTTTTTAGTTATTTTACAAATCCTTGAATTTATAATCAGAAGATGAAATTGATCAGCAAAAAGACAAAGAAAATGTCATGAGTTTTATGGTTGTTTCTCATGCAGGACAGAATCTCATGTGAACTAGAAAAGGTATACGAAGTTTGAAAGGATTTGAGGGGTAAGTGAAACTGACGTCTACTTGGAATGATGGTACGAACTGGACGATAGTGTTTTTTTGTCAATACTGTCAATTTACTTTTCACTACAATTGTCATTATTGTTATACCCTTGAGTTCTGAGTGGAACACAGTGTTTCAATAGCACGTTACCACTTCACTCGCTTCTCTGCAATCATTCCTCTTTAGGTGGACTCATTGTCGCCCATAAGTTCTCGTCCCCTCAACACACTATCTCGTCCATGTCACTCATGGATCCCCAACTTGTTTGTCACCTGAAGCATTATGTAACCCGACGGCCTCCTCAGCGTTTGTCCGATTCATCTCCATTTTCTTCGACATACTTTTGGAGCAACAGGTTCCTTGATTGGTTCTCTCAGAGGGTTTATTGTGGCTAAATCTTTCTGGCTGGCCATCTAATCTTCAATATAGAGCCAGCGAAGGCAGCTGTTCATTAGACTATGATGAAGTGGCTTGTTAGAAATGCTTTTCGTGACACATGAGTCAAGTTTGTGATCCATAAAGAAGAACTGACTGATTTAACGTTTATGTTATTATTTATTATTAATATTGTTCCCTTGGGTTCCTAGTGGAACATAGGGCTTCAACTGCACGTATCCACTTGCCACTTCTGTCTTCTGGTGTGATTTTCACCTGCATCCATGTTAGTCCATACTGTTTCAACTACTCTTCACACCATCTCCTCCATGTAACCCTCGCACAAACTCGCCGCTTCCCTTTCGGCCTGGTTCCACTCAAGCAATGGCCTGACGCGCGTGATGTCACCCAGCGGCGGCCTCCTCAGCGAGCGAGTGTCCAATCCATCCATCTCCACTTTCTCCTGCATATTTATTGGGCGATTGGTTCGTTCTTGTTTTGTTTGTTCCCATAGTTTCTTGTTGGTGATTCTTTCCGGCCCGGCCATCTGATCTTCAGTATAGAGCGAAGACAATTTTTGATAAAGATCTGCAATGGTCTGTTGGAAATATTCTTTGTGACCCGCCCGTCAAGTTTCTGATCCGTATAGAAGAGCTGACTTGACTTTTGTATTGAAGATCCGAATTTCGTTCTTTATGCTGAGTGCAGATTTCAACACTGATTTTTGGTTTTGACATCTTCATCGGTGCTACCTGTAGCTGAAACGATGTTTCCTAGATACGTGAAGTGATATCTTTCGAAATTTCTCCACTTGATAATAATTGGTGCTTGTTGCTGCTGTTGTTGGCCAGTGTTTTAATCACTCCCATCTTCTTTGTATTCAGTTGAAGTACTGTTTTTGCCGCCTGCTTCTTCAGACGGTTTGTTGCTATTCACGCGAAATCCAGATCGTCTAAGTTTTAATCTCTGTGGTTCACCGTATTCCTGCCTTCTCACTCCTGGTGTGCAGTCTGACGCGTAATCTAGGCCACTACAATTAGTAATATTATCGGTGATAATAGGCAGCCTTGTTTTACTTCTGTATTCAAATCAAACGCCTCGCTGAGTTTTTCGTTATGGATAACCTGACACGTGGCATTGTAATACAGCCAGCTGCTGAATGAGGTTCATAAAGACTTGACGCACGCTGTAGTGTTGAAGTAGTTGCCAAATAACTTCCTGGTTAACGCTATCGAAGGCCTTTTAAGAGTCGATGAAGTTGAGGCAGAGAGAGAGAGGTTTGACTGCCATTCTATGCTTTTTTCTGTGATGACGATGCGTAGAGTTGCAATTTGATCCGCATATGATCTGCTTTTCGTGTATTCAGCTTGTTTCAGTTGGAATTCTGCATCCAATGCATCCTTTTTAGTGCAAAGAAGACCCGAATCTAAATCACAGACGTTTAAATCAGCCCTACTTATTTGTACAAAGAATGCAAATCTTGTTTATACTTTTACTGTACAATATGGATTAAGTATTCAAGTAATTAAGACTGGTGGCTGTTGTAATCTCTTTCGTGTATTCAATCACAAGTGAGCTAACCTATAAAAGGGTAAACTATAAACGTTTTGAGTCAATTAAATAGGAATACCTAAAGAAATAAATAATTTCCTATCGTTATTATTGTTAGTTTTATTCTTATTTTGACTGTTATTTAAGCAAATAGGTTATCCCTTATAATTTTATACCTTTGAAACAACAGAATTTTAAACTGAATGACCATTTTATTGTTAAGTGAACTCAACTATAGACAAACAACAAATATTTCAAACCTTCAAGGTCAGATTTCCTTATAAAAAAGAAAAGAATTAGGAGAAAGGAAAGACAGAGCAAATAAACACATTCAGATTTTGTTGTTGTTGCTGTTGTTTTCCTTCAGATTTTTCTCATATGATTTCAAAAGATTGAAAATAAAAATGGACACTTCTAACTTTGAAGCATTTAAGAAGAAAAAAAATGAAAACAATGTAGGGGAAATAATTGTTGTAGGTAAAAACAAAAAGTTATCAGGCTATTGCATTAATGCATCAGCTTTACAAAGTTAAAAACCAAGTTTATCATTAGTGTACAGAAATATATTTATTAAGAAGACAATTGCAGCGAAGAAAATTTTCTTTTCGACGAAGTCATCATCTTGGCTGTACATTCGTGTATTTATATCAAATGGATAGGAAAGTTCCAGAATAATATCCGGTCAAGGGTCAAATTAGTAAAAATTAAAATTAGGAATTAGAATGCCCTAATAAACAGGGGGATGGATAAAACAAACAAAGTAGCATCATGATAGCTAAGAAGATTGACATTGTGCAATTAGGGGTTAGAAATGTAGAAATAACAAAATAGACAGGATGTTTAGATAAGAACTAATGTGATGAATAATTGTTTATGCAATCAGGGATTAAATATGTAGAAATAGTAAAATGACAAAATAAACACGAAGTTCGGGTATGAAAATATGGTAGTGTAAACAGGGATTAAGAAAAACTTAAAATAACAAGAATAAACAGGAAGTTTAGGTAAGAAAGGCGATGGGATGGTCATTACTAAAAAATTACCTGTTTATGATGCCCATGGCAGGGACAGGGGTTGGAAGTATTTCTTTTGGATACAAAGGGTGGGTTTGAGCTTTTGTATAGCTAGCGCTTCGGGTATGCCCAGATGTCTTGATTTGACTCCCTTTGACAGGTTTGATTGAATCTTGTATACTATTTTGAAGGATTTTTCGAAAGGTGCTGAATGTCCTGAATTGACCAGATGTTCTGTCACTGAACTGTATACACGCTT